ACTTACAACAGGATTGGTTTGTGGGATTGGCTGCCCCCCCCAAGATAGGGTGAGGTTGGATTTCTCCAGTTAGACCAGGGGTAGGCAACCTTGGCTCTTTTATGACTCGTGGACTTCAACTCCCAGAATTCCTGAGCCAGCCATGCTGAGGGGAAAGGGAGAATTTCTAAGCTGAGCCATGCTGGCTCAGGAATTCTGGGAGTTGAAGTCCATGAGCCATAAAAGAGCCAAGGTTCCCCACCCCCGAGTTAAACAGTATAGGTAGTCCTTGACTTACATCAGTTTCTTTTAGTGACCGGTCAAAGTTACAACGGCACTAAAAGTGGCTCAACGACCGTTGTTCACAGCTACGACCTTGGCAGCGTCCCCATGATCGTGTGATCGAAATTCAGACGCTTGGCAACCGGTTCGTATTTATGACCTTTGCTGTGTCTCAGGCTAATGTGATCCTCCTTTTGCGACCTTTTGAGCAGCAAAGTCAATGGGGGAAGCCAGATTCACTTAGCAACCAGATTCCTAGCTTATCAACGGCAGTGATTCACTTAACAACGGTGGTGAAAGAAGCCGTAAAATGGGGCAAAACTCACTTAACAGATGTCTCGCTTAATAACAAAGTTTGGGCTCAGTTGTCGTAAGTCGAGGACTACCTAGATTCAGTCACAGCAGCGGCCTTTCCTGGCCCTGCTGCAAGATAGAGATCGATACCCACTTACCCGAATAACAGAGTTAGAAGGGACCTTGGAGGTCTTCTAGTCCAACCCCCTGCTCAGGCAGGAGACCCTAGACCAGGGGTCTTCAAACGTGGCCCTTTTATGACTTGTGGACTTCAACTCCCAGAATTCCTCAGCCAGAGACGCTGGCTGAGGAATTCTGGGAGTTGAAGTCCACAAGTCATAAAAGGGCCAAGTTTGAAGGCCCCTGTCCTAGACCATTCCAGACAAATGGCTGTCCAGTCTCCTCTTAAAAGCCTCCAGTGATGGACACCCACAACCTCTGGAGGCAACATTTGGAGCATGGCTTTAGGGCCCTTCCTGACATGAGAGCAGCTTTTATCTAAGCAGGAAAAAAAATGGATTCTTATCGCTTTGGGAGAAATGACTGTTTCACCCCACCCCACCCAGGCAAATACTGGCCTCACCGGTTTGCCTGCATGACCGCTCAGAGCTGGATCACCCCAAATCATGAAAAAATCACCAACTTTCCTGTAAGTAGGAAGAGGTACCCGTGGAAATGTTTTCAAGCCGTCATTCTGCTCATCTGACTTTCCAGTTTGCAATTTGAGAGGCCTGGAGATTAAGCTCAGGAACAGAGCGTTACCAAATGGAATGAAATTCTTGGATAATCTCATTAGATTATTGCAGTTCTTCAGCTAGATCAGTGTTTTTGGGACTTGGCAACTTTTAAGAGGTGTGGACTTTTAATTCCTAGATTTCCCCTGCCATCGTGCTGCTGGGGAATTCTGGGAGTTGAAGTCCACGCCCTCTTAAAGTTGCCAAGTTTGAAAAACACTGTTGTGTAGAGAAAGGTGAAGACTTTAAAAAGGGTGGTCAGTCCTAGACAAAACTGTAAATCTGCACGAAAACTTTGCTAATACACCGAAATGCCGGGAAAGAGAAGAATATCCAACGTTTTAGTCTACTGAGAAACTTGTTTTTAATAATGAGCCCAAAATTTCTTATCCAGCTTTCCTCAAAAAATAGGATGGCATCTGCATTTCCATCAGTAGTTACATTGAATGTTATTTTCCTTTTGTTTGCAGTTAGCAAAATAGTTGAGTTGTTTATTACTAATTTGGTTACACATTTGAGTTTTTGATACTTTTTTTTAAATTTAGATTCATATTCCTATGTAAGTAGTTGCTCTTTCTGGATTTGTTTGGTTTTTTTTGTAGGAAATAGCATAGAAGGCTCATATTATTGGAGATTTTATCTTGAAGAAAAGTTACTATTTCAGGCCTTTGAAAATAATTTGGGGGAATATTAAGGCCCTTTAGAATGAGAGGGGAAATACTGAGTTAAAGACACTACAGTCTGTTTTAATTTTGCTCCGGGAATCATGTTTTATCAAATGAAAAGCTTTTCTTTTTTTTTTAGGAAACTACAAAGTGTACTGTATATTAATAGAAACTCTAAAAGGCTTAGAGACATTAATTCCTTTAATAGGCTTACTATAATGAACATGGAATATGAGTGCTTTGATAATGGCTAGTTATAGTGACAGTGAACAGGAAAACATTTAATTTCTTGTTGCTATCCATACGTTATAACAGGTTTTGATCACGAAGGGCATTTAATGATTTTGATTATCAATACAGCTAATTCTAGTATCATCCTGATTAATTAGTTTCCACAAAGAATAATCCTGAAATAGGTGTTTTTCTAAGCTTTTTAAGTTGAATTATAACTAATGGTTGCAGAAGAGTTTAATGTTAAGAATTTCCCGTTAAACAGAAACACCCCTTTTAAAAAAATCTTATTTACAAAATTGGGATATATTCAAAGCATATATTCTGGAACCTGATATATATTTTATGTTAGGCTGAAAAAAAAGAAATAATAAAGACATGTTCCAGTATTTTGTATGGAGGTTTAAAACTAACCACACTAATTTTAGATGGTGTTGGAATACTTCATTAAAAAGACACACACACACATACACACAGAGGCAGACACCAATAAACTTGATAAATCAAATAAATAATTCTGTGAAATATATTAACAAAACCTGTTTTTAACACAAACTCCATTAAACTTTTAACTGTTGGGACTCTTGTAAGGTGTATGTTTGCTACAGTTAAAAAGAAACCTGTAAATTTTAGTTTTATACATTTGGAAAAGACAGTAAATCTGCTGTTTTATGTCAGAAATTGTGTGGAGGAATCTTATAAAGCATGTATGGAAGGCTAAGGGGAAAATGGAGCAATTATATTATGAACACTGTTAGTACTTTTTTTTTAATGCACAGAAAAAAAATTGTCAGCTTGGTATGAAAACTGGAAATCTCCTAGGCGCCTGACTGAAGCAATTAAAACATCTGAATCTTATCTCTGGAATTCAGGCCAAAAGCAGTCCTACATTGTTATACATTGTCATTCCTGCCTGAGCAGGGGGTTGGACTAGATGACCTCCAAGGTCCTTTCCAACTTTATTTTTTAGATGATGATGATGATGCAGGGGGTTGGACTAGATGACCTCCAAGGTCCTTTCCAACTTTATTTTTTAGATGATGATGATGATGATGATATTATTTTATTTATATATATATATATATATATATATATATATATATATATATATATATATATATATATATATATATATATATATATATGAGTCTTTGGTCATTCGGGTTTTCTCCCGTGTAAGATTAGAAGTATCATAGCGACGTTTCGATGAAATCACATTCATCATCATCAGGCTTGTGCTTTTAGCTTTGTGCTTCTCAGAGTAATANCAAACCCCACTGGCAGTTAAAAGGAAGAAACAGCTGCGATCACACACACTACTCCCAGAAGCACGAAGCTGAAGACACCAGCCTGAAGATGACGAATGTGACTTCGTCGAAACGTCGCCAAGACACTTCTAATTCTATGCGGGAGAAAACCCGAATAACTAAAGACCTACATACAAACACCCGCGAAAACCTCAGAAAATATATAGATATAGATATAGATATAGATATAGATATATATAGATATATATATACATACACATACAGAGACAGAGTCTATTACTGAGCAGGTTTTTATTTTTATTTTTTATGCTCAAATACTGTATATAAATCAGATTGAACTGCAAACTGAATAACAGATTTTGGGAAAGAAAATTCTCAGGTATAATACATAAAATCAATTTGACATAACTGTAGCTAGTAACAAGAAATTAACAGATCTATAAAATTAGGGAAAGTTCCTGCGCTACATTTCCCATTGAATGTAAAAACCTTATGGATTTATTAGCATTTTTACTATCAGAAGTTATTTAATCTTACTAAAAATTCCTTTTTCATTCTATGAGGCTTACATTACCAGATCAAAACCAGAGGAAAATCCAGAGAAAGCGTTACAAATCAATATTGTTGCTTAATGTGGATGCAAACTATGATCAATGACTGTTATTACGAAATGTATTCTAGCTATAGTTTATTCAACTCATCTGAATATCAGAGAGATATCTGATTATATTTAGTGATTTGCTGTTTTGGAAATAGCTGCACATAACTTAGATTGGTCAGGGGAAGTACTTGTATAATTTTGGTGACCTCAGACGCTTAGCAGATTAAACTATAGTTAGAACTTTTATGGCAAATTCTGTCACTTAAGTTAGATCGGAAGCATTCAAAAAGCAATATTTTTTTAAAAAAATGAGAAGGGTTAAAATTGGATAGTCTGGATCAGTTATTCAAACCTGGCAGTTTTAAGACATGTAAACTTCAACTGGAGAATTCTTAAAATTGCCAAGTTTGAGAAATTGGACTAGACCAGGGGTCTTCAAACTTGGCCCTTTTATGACTTGTGGACTTCAACTCCCAGAATTCCTCAGCCAGGCACGCTGCCTGAGGAATTCTGGGAGCTGAAGTCCACAAGTCATAAAAGGGCCAAGTTTGAAGACCCCTGGTTCTAGTCTAGACTATCCAGTTTTTTGTTATTGTTAGTTGCGAAGTCGTGTCCGACCCATCACAACCCCATGGACAACGTTCCTCCAGGCCTTCCTGTCCTCTACCATCTTCTGGAGTCCATTTAAGCTCATGCCTATTGCTTCAGTGACTCCATCCAGCCCCCTCATTCTCTGTCGTCCCCTTTAACCCCGCTTTAAAAAAAAATCCCAGTGGGGAATTTTCCCAGTGGAGAATTCTGGGAGCTGTAGTCCACAAGTCTTCAAATTGACAAATTTGAAAAGCTTTCCTCACCATATTAAGATGTTTTATTTTTGATTTTGAATTTGATTTTTTTTCTTTTCTTTCTCTCCATTCCTTTTTTTTTTAATTGAAGCTACAGGAGCAATGTCCAAGAAGCCTTTAAACATCCCTGTGGTAAATGGGCAGCCACAGAAGACGGAAGTGGAAAATGGACACCCCAATTTGATGCCACCCACTCTTAGCACCTCTAGCGTGGAGGAGATGGTCCAGCAAATGAAAGAACTCATAACGGAGAACAATGAGCTTAAAGGTGAACATTAAATATCAAACATGGCCAACAGTTCCTTCTCAAATCTGCCTCTGGGTCTTTTCACCCTGTAGTAAAAATTACTAACATACACATAGGCTTAAGATACCCTGGACTTATGTGAGTTTAGGTCCTCTGATTTTGGGGGGGTATAGGCAAATAGACAATTCAGATTAAAGTTCTCTTTAATTGTTTTCTATTTAATTCAATTGTATTTTATTTAATTTTAATTCTAATTCCGTTTAATGTAATCCATCCAGTAGGAGGGATGTGTCCACAAGACTCGCAACAGTTAGGCGGGACTGGAGAGAAAATTGTTTCTTAGCAAATCAAGCAAAATATGAGAACAAAATAAGACTTCTTTTGTTATCTATGATGTTGCCTATCCATCTGTGTTTTGCATATTTCTGATCATTCCAGGCCAGATTTTAGAATATGCACAACGGTTTTTGCATATCTGCATTTGGGAGTCGGTTTTTTTTCGTTATTTTATCCATGCATAAAATGAAAGATGGATTTCTTTGTGCGCATGCATTTTTTTCTTCCCCGTTACGTTAGATGAGGAGTGGATGGAAACTAATGAAGGAGAGAAGCAACCTAGAAATAAGGAGAAATGTCCTGGCAGTGAGAACAATTAATCAGTGGAAGAACTTGTCCCTTGTCTGAAATGGTATAGGGCAGGGGTAGGCAACCTTGGCTCTTTTATGACTCGTGGACTTCAACTCCCAGAATTCCTGAGCCAGCATGGCTCAGCTTGGAAACTCTCCCTTTCCCCTCAGCATGGCTGGCTCAGGAATTCTGGGAGCTGAAGTCCACGAGTCATACAAGAGCCAAGGTTGCCTATCCCTGGTATAGGGTCTCCTGAAAAGAGGATTGGACTAGAAGACCTCCAAGGTCCCTTCCAACTCTGTTATTATGTTACCTGCGCAATATCCCCATCTATTTGTCTCTTCTCCTCAATTGGTCCAGCATATGATCATGAGGTTCCTCCTCTTTAGAAGAAGATGCTCAGTTGATGATGGAGGGAGGAGTAGCCCTTACTCTCTGCAGCTCCCACTGATTTCCCTGCACTGCCCACCATTTTTACCATCTTGATGGAAGGTCCTGTCCAATCACACCATGGGATGAAGTTGCTGCTCAACACACTTTCTGATTATATCAGACATGTTTGTTTAATACATATTAATTGATATAATAGAATAACAGAGTTGGAAGAGACCTTGAAGGTCTTCTAGTCCAACCTCCTGCTCCAGCAGGAGACCCTATCTATGCCATTCCAGACAAATGGCTGTCCAGTCTCTTCTTGAAAGCCTCCAGTGATGGAGCATCCACAACTTTTGGAGGCAAGCTGTTCAACTGGTTAATTGATTTCACTGTTAGGAAGTTTCTCCTTAATTATAGGTTGCTTCTCACCTTGATTAGTTTCCATCCGTTGCTTCTTGTCTTACCTTCTAGTGCAGGCATGTCAAACACGCGACATCACATGACGTCGCATGACGTATCGGAGCTTTTTCTCTATTGCCGGCAATGGGGTGGGCGCAGTTTTGGGATGATGCGTCCGGCCCGCGGGCCGGCAGTTTGACACCCCTGTTCTAGTGTTTTGGAGAATAAGTTGACTCCCTCTTCTCTGTGACATCCCTTCAAATGTGGGAACATCAGAGATTTCAGATATACCAGAGTCCCAACTTCAAAAATATTATTCCCCCACCTGATTCTTCTTGAGAACTTTAGTTGATGAGCCACGGAGAACTTAAGGAACGATTTCCGGAGAAGTTTGGATGACAGACTCATGCTGATCTCATCTTGTAGGATCCATGCTTTCCTTCCTTTTCTCACCACGTCAAACCCTATCAGTAGATTGCAGCATTGGTAGATTGGTTAAGGCTCTCCTCAAAAGTATTTCTTGCAATATTGGGTAGATGGTCAATGCCTTCCCCCATTTGCCCAAAGTATTTCCTTGAACCCACACTCTGTGTTTTTAAGGAACGATTTATGCTGACACCTAACACGGTATTTCTTGGGGTCAACTAGAAGCCATGAGGCAGCGGAATCAGGCCATGAAGGACCGCTTTGAGGAGCTGTCCGCTTGGAAGGAGAAGTTGAAAGAAGAGCGGGAATTTTACGAATCGAAATTCAAAGATGCCCGGCAGTGTTTGGCAGCCAAGTGTCTGGAGAATGAAAGTCTCCACCAGAAACTCCAAAGCCTGGGAGAAAAAGAAGGAAGGATCAACCAGGTAAGTGAAAAAAAAAATATTTTGACTCGTCTGGGCCTGAGAAGGAAGAGGGAGGACTCCCCAAACTGAGGTAGCTAGAAGAACTGTTTGCAGGTAGTCCTCGACTTACGACCACAATCGAGCCCAACGTTTATGTTGTTAAGCGAGAATTCGTTAAGGGACTTTTGCCCCATTTTACGACAGTCGTGAAGTGAATCGCTGCAGTTGATAAGTTAGTCAGACAGTTGTTAAGTGAATCTGGCTTCCCCATTCCCCAAAAGGGATCGCCTGAATCCAGGACGCTGTGACCGTCATAAATATGAGTCAGTTGCCAAGCATCTGCATATAAATCGCATTGACTCTGGGGATGCTGCAACGGTCATAAGTACGAGCAGTTGCCAAGCGTCTGAATTTTGATCACGTGATCATAGGGATGCTCCAAAGGTCGTAAATGTGAAAAACGGTCGTAATGTCACATTTTTCAGTGCTGTTGTAACTTTGAATGGTCACTAAATGAACTGTTGTAAGTTGAGGACTACATAATAATAAGAAGAACAATAACAACAACAACAATAATAATAATAATAACAATAATAAAGTTGGAAGGGACCTTGGAGGTCATCCAGTTCAACCCCCTGCTCAGGCAGGAAACCCTCTACCATTTCAGACAAATGGCTGTCCAGTCTCCTCTTAAAAACTTCCAGTGTTGGAGCACCCACAACTTCTGCAGGCAGGTTGTTCCACTGATTAATTGTTCTAACTGTCAGGAAATTTCTCCTTAGTTCTAGGTTGCTTCTCTCCTTGATTAGTTTCCATCCATTGCTTCTTGTCCTGCCTTCAGGCACTTTGGAAAATAGCTTGACTCCTTCTTCTTTGGGGCAGCCCCTGAGATATTGGAACGCTGCTTTATGAAAGAATAGGTGTCACAGATGATAAAGATCCATTTGTCATAGGATCGCTAAAGACTCCGGCTAATTAAATTTAGTGAGACGTATTTGTACATACAGATAGTAGTTCTCGGCTTATGACGCTTAGTGACCATTGGAAGTTACAATCGACCCCACAAGATGGTATTTATGACCCAGTTCCAGAATTTTGACAGTGGTGCACACACAAGCACACACACACACACACACAGCCCTGTGGTCACATGATTGCACATTTCTGTTGCTAAGTGAGACAGTTGTTCAGTGAGTTTTGCCCCATTTTACAACCTTTCTTGTCACACTTGTTTAGTGAATCACTGCAATTGTTAAGGTCAGCAACACGGTTGTTAAGTGAATCCGGCTTCCCCATGGACGTCGCTTTTCAGACAGTCGCAAAAGGGGATCACCTGACCATGAACAATTGTGTGAAAAAAGGTCATAGGTCACTTTTGGCATCTTTGAACGGTCACTAAATGAACCGCTGTAAGTCGAGGACTAACTGTGGTGGAATATCCCCATGGTGTGGAGCCCGCCACCCTGTAGCTTCTGCTGGAAAGATGTTTTCCAAAAACTATTCAGAATCATGCTCAACGTCAAGAATTCAGTTACGCGAATGGAAAAAACGGTGGCTTTTTAGATTTGGATTGTTTCAATAACTAATTGAGTATTTTAAATTAGTAAGATGACTTTTTTCTATGATAACATAGATGTGATAAGACATGATAATTAATTGGATGAAATTTGAATCTTGTTTAATGAGCTGAAATGACTTAAGGCTCAACATTATTTTGTTATCTCAAAAGAGATTGATTGATTGATTGATTGATTGATTGATTATATATGCATAGGGTAGATTAATATCTTATTTTAATTAGGATACGTATTGTGTACTGGAAGAAGAAATAAATGAGACTTGTGATAAAATGAGGGATGTGAGAGATTAAGAATTAGAATATATCTGGAAGGGATACCTGAATGGATAACTTGTTGATTTAAAATTAAATTTGATTATGGTAATTGTAAATTCACAAAGTTTTAAAACAGGCTTAGCATTTATAGAAATTTAAATTAGAAATGGAATATTTTAAACGTATTATGCTATTTGAGGGAAATAGAGAGGGGACATTGAATGTATTGAGTCGAGTTATTTATATATGGTTTTATTTTTGAATGTTTGACTATCCCAACACCATGGTGTGTCCTGAGCACTTTGTCTTCAGAATTAAAAAAACAATAAAATGTGTTTAAAAAAAAAAAAGAAAAAAGAATTCAGTTATGCATCATGGCCTTTAGCATTCCTTTAACTACTTCAGCCAGTCCTTGACTTACAATAGTTCATTTAATGACCAAAGTTACAACAACATGAAAAAAAAGTGACATCACCATTTTTCACACAACCTTGGCAGCATGACCATGGTCACGTGATCTGTAGTTACAACGGATGCAATGTCCCGGGGTTGCGCGATCCCCTTTCGCGTCCTTCTGACAAGCCAAGTCAATGGAGGAAGCCAGATTCACTTAATAACCGTCTTACTGACTTAACAACGGCTTGATTCACTTAAGAACGGTGGCAAGGAAGGTCATAAAATGGAGCACAACTCGCTTAGCAGCTGTCTCGCTCAGCGAGAGAAATTTTGGGCTCCATTGTGGTCGTAAATCGAGGATGGCCTCTATTGAGTCAGGCTTAGGACGGTTCTGTGTTTGGCCTCGCTGTCCGGCAACGTGTTGGCTGCTCTTGAAGGGGACTCACCCTGGGTTTCTCCTCCTAGGAGAGCCCCGTTCCCAGGAAGGAGGCGGCCCAAGAAGTCGAGCAACTGAGGGCCCAGGTGGCGAAGCTGCAGGCCGAAAAGGCGGATCTGGTGGCCATCATTTCCGAGCTGCAGCTGAAGCTCAATGCGGCCGCAGCCGAGGACTCCTTTGTGGAGATCAGGATGCACGTAAGCCACGTCTCATTCTCTCCATGAACCCTTCTGTCGCTGGGTGGGATTTCCTTCGTCTTATATACAGGCAGTCCTCGACTTACAACTGTTCATTTAGTGGCCGAAGTTACGACAGCACTGAAAAAAGTGACTTACGGTTGTTTTTCACACTTACGACGGTTGCAGCATCCCTTTGATCACGTGATCAAAATTCGGACGCTCGGCAACTGACTCCTATTTATGACGGTTGCAGTGTCCCAGGGTCACAAGATCCCTTCTTGCAACCTCCGGACAAGCCAAATCAGTGGGGAAGCCAGATTCGCTTAACCGTCTGACTAACTTAACAGTTGCAGTGATTTGCTTAACAACGGTGGCGAGAAAGGTTGTAAAACGGGGCAAAAACTCACACAACAAATGTCTCACTTAGCAACATAAATTTTGGGGCTCCGTTGTGGTCGTAACGCGAGGACTGCCTGTAGACTCAGAGGTTGCAACCCTAGTTACTTAATCTTTGGAACGGATTTGTAAGTGGGCGAGTAGAGGCAAGGGAGAAAGAAGGAAGGCCTTAAAATTGCCGACCCCCCCAAGTGCTGGGTTTGGAGAGCGTTCGTTCATTGTTGTTTTGACAACCTGAGTGTGTTTCTTCGGAGGTGAAAAGCCAGCTGATAGATGTGACAAAGCCGTCTGTCATTTTCCGCAGGAGGGAGAACCGGAAGGGGCCCTGAAAGAACCTCAGCAGGTGGATGTCAAAAGAATAAACGAGAGCGCGGCTCTGTACGTGTGAGTAGATTTTTTTCGGGATTCTTTGAGCATCTGCGTCTGAAAATGAGAACATTCTAGATCAGGGATGGCGAACCTTTTAGAGACTGAGTGCACAAAAACCGCCCCTGCCTCCTCACCCGCCCCGCCACGCCGCGCCTCACCCCCCGCTCTGCCCCGCTCCCCCTCAAGGCCACCCACCGCCTCCACGGCCCACCGCAGTAGATCGCCCAGGCGGCCCAGCAGCGCCATGGCAGCCACACCCTCTGCCCATGCCCCGCAGTATCATCTGTGCGTGACGGGGAGCGAGGGCGGAGTCTTGTCCCCGCTGCCCAACTGCCATGTCCTTGGCTGCACTGCTCCGCGCAGACCACGTTTAGGGGCGACTCTCCTCCAGGGGGGCTTCTGGTGAGAAGGGGGCCATGGGGGGAGGTGGGGCTGGGGCAACAGCTCACGTGCCCACAGAGAGGGCTCTGAGTGCCGCCTCTGGCACATGTGCCATAGGTTCGCCACCACTGTTCTAGATAAAGAGGTAGTCCTGGACGTACGACCATAATGGAGCCCAAAATTTATGGGCTAAACCAGTGATGGCGAACCTTTTAGAGACCGAGTGCCCAAACTGCAACCCAAAACCCACTTATGCATCGTCGGGTGCCGGGTGGGTGTGGCCCATTGGGTGGGTGTGGCCTATTGGGTGGGCGTGGCCCATTGGGTGGGCATGGCTGCGGTGGTAACAGCAGACTGGGTGGGACTAAAAAGTTCAATCAATCAATTCCAACTTTGCAAGATCTTTTATTTTCCCCCGCGAGAAGTTGAAATTGACGGATTGATTGAACCTTTTTTTTGTTTTTTGCACACGGCGGCGGAGGCCTAAAGCGAAAAGGTTTTATAAAACCCAGCTGAAGGCCTAGGACTGGGGCGACGGCGCGCGTGCCCACAGAGAGGGCTCTGAGTGCCGCCTCTGGCACCCGTGCCGTAGGTTCGCCACCACTGGGCTAAACTCTGCCCGCTGCCAGCAGTTCGATCCTGACCTGCTCAAGGTTGACTCAGCCTTCTGTCCTTCCCAGGTCGGTAAAATGAGGACCCAGCTTGTTGGGGGACAAGATGATGACTCTGTAAACTGCTTAGAGAGGGCTGTAAGCGGTATATAAGTGCTAGTGCTGTTGAAAAAAACATCTGGAAGAGGCTGAAGACAGACACCTCCCTATTTCCCACGAGTATAAGAAGTGGAGGGAGGCACAGTTGCAAGCAACTTGCAAGATTCTGTTATTGATACTATTCGTTGTAAAAATGGTCTTAGCCTTCTGGTGGAGTTGATCTCCTGGTGTGGTATACCTGATGGGGGTAGACTTAGATTGAAATCTGAATTCAGTTATGAAGCTGCTGGTTGAGATCCATAACTGAATCAGGATTTCAACCTATGTCTTCCTTGACGTAGAACAGGGGTGGGGTACCTTGGCTCTTTTATGACTCATGGACTTCAACTCCCAGAATTCCTGAGCCAGCCATGCTGAGGGGACAGGGAGAGGTTTCCATGCTGAGCTATATTGGCTCAGGAATTCTGGGAGTTGAAGTCCATGAGTCATAAAAGAGCCAAGGTTGACTACCCCTGACCTAGAACAGACATGTCAAACACAAGGCCCGGGGGCCGGATGCGGCCCGCGAAGTGGTTTCATGTGGCCCGCGAAGCCATCCTGGAAACAGTGAGGGAACGGCCCCCGCTGCCTTGGCCCTAGCCCAGGCTAGCCGGGAGCCAATGTACAATTTTGTGGTGGCCATCTTGGCACTTGCCCCAGTGGACCATGCCTTGGCACTTGCCCCGTTCCTACCCCCTTCTGCCAGAGACCCACAGATCTGTCCCACTCCTGCCCAGGCCCCCACAGGCACCCTTGACGCGAACGATGTAGAACTGGCCACGCCCACCCAGTAGGCCACACCCACCCCATCCACGCCCACCCAGTAGGCTGCACCCACCCTGGCCACACACCCCGCCCCCCCGAGGGCAACCGCAATGCTGATGCAGCCCTCAGTGAAATTGAGTTTGACACCCCTGGCCTAGAATAAGGCAGTGTTCATGATTTCACCCCAATGTGTCTTTTCTATCTTCTTAAAGCCGGACTAAATCTATGGACGACGCCAAGAAATACTTGGAAAAAGAAGAATTAACCGTCAGCCAGCTTCTGCATTCTCTTAGAACCGAGACTCAGAAGAGGGAAGCCCTGGAAAATAAGATGCAGGAACTGAGGGATAAGTGCCAACAGTGTGTATTCTTCTCATTGCATCAAGCATCATGGCTAGACGGCTTCCAATTTTGTGCTTTCCCAGTAATCATTCTCTTGCTTCCGTGTGTAACTCTGTAGTATCTCCATCTCAGCATCCTTACCTCCCAAAAGTCTGATTTGGGGTTCTCCCATAGGTCAGCACCGGGGAAAAAATGGAGTTGCCTTGAGCTTCATTTCACCCTTTGCATTTGCATGAGAACAGAAATAAGGAGAGCAAGCCAGTTTTGGTGGGACAGATGGGAAGCATCTTAAGCTTGGAGGAAGTAGGTGGAATTCCACCAATGGTCAGCCAATCCATTGTGCATCTCCACAGGAAGTGTTGTGGATGGTTGTTGCAGCCTTTCCTGTAGAATAAGAGCCAAGCCATAGAGTTGACCCATTTTCAGTGGCTGGAAGGGCCTCGGCTTAATGGACATACTGTCTCAAGTAGTCCAGTTTTTACACATGGATAAAAATCTTTGTAAAAAAAGATGATAAAGTGCTCAGATCATGTCAGCATGGGGCACTGACTCCTGAGCGTCCCAAAAAACTTTTAATTAAGTGTGTTTTTAAGAACTTACATGACTAATCAAAGAAGACATTTATGATATGGCTGCCAGCAATTTAAGCTGCATCTTGCGTTAAACAGCTCATCCTGCCAATCTTTTTATTGTATTATTTTATTTTATTATTATTTTACTTTATTTTATTTTATTTTATTATTATTTTATTTTATTTTATTATTATTTTATTATTTTATTTCATTTTATTTTATTATTTTATTTTATTTTTTTATTTTATTTTATTTTATATTTTATTTTATTATTTTATTTTATTATTTTATTTTATTTTATTTTATTTTATTTTATTTTATTTATTTTATTTTATTTTATTTTATTTTATTTTATTTTATTTTATTTTATTTTATTTTATTTTATTTTATTTTATTCAAAAGGTTAAAATACAAAACCCAAAACAAAAATAAACAGAGACGAAACAAAACTCATCAAAAATATTGAAAAAAGGTGAATTGAAAAAAAAACCAAACAAAAAAACACTGGAAGTTTTTAAGAAGAGGCTGGACAGCCATTTGTCTGAAATGGTGTAGGGTTCCTGCCTGAGCAGGGGGTTGGACTCGATGACCTCCAAGGTCCCTTCCAACTTTATTATTATTATTATTGGTGGTGGTGGTGGTGAATATCTGCAGCTCAGGTGTCGGATGAGGGCGGAAGTTCATTCTCTGGGCTTGTGGGTTGATTTCCCAAAGTTTCATCCCCAGGCTAGGTAACATCTTCAGCAGAGTTTAGGAGATGTCAGTGTTCTTCTGTTTATAAGGGCTTCCGGTGTGGGTGTGTCGAGTGAGGGTCTTGCGATGGGTCAGGTGTGAGTCATCAGTGAGAGGCTGGTGAACATCACGTCAATTAAAAAGCAGGATCCACGAACATCGGCTGGCAGTCAAACGCCATGATCCCAAATCCTTAATCTCTACCCACCCTGACACCAAACAGCACCAGTTCTATTGGAGCAACACAAAAATCATCAGCCACGCTACCACCCGCCACGCCCGTGACTTCAAGGAAGCCTGGCGCTCCACAAGCAATTCCATCAACAGACACATTGACCTACAATCAGCCTACGAACCCCTCAGAATCCAAATCAACCACACAGCCAATCAGAGATGGCACTGACCTTTAACCAACCCACACATGCCCCACCTCTCACAGCAGTTCACCTCCCAATGACCCTGACCCAGTGTAACCTCCCCATCACAAGACCTGTCAAAGATTCTTACTGATGACTCACACATGACCCATCACTCGACACACCCACACCTGAAGCCCTTATAAGCAGAAGAATACCGACACTGACATCCCCTAACCCGGGGGTCGGCAACCTTAAACACTCAAAGAGCCATTTGGACCCGTTTCCCAGAGAAAAGCAAACACTGGGAGCCGCAAAAGTTGCACGCACGCACACGGGAGGGGGGGAGCTTGATTGAAGAGTTTAATTAAAAAGAAATAAAGGCTGCTGTGCATGAGTTCTCTCTCTCCCTCTCTCCCTCCTCCTCTTTGTCTCTCTCCCCCCCCCCTCTCTCTCTCCCTCTCTCTGATTTTATGCTCACCTGGCAAGCTGGCTTCATGCTGTCCTCCGACAAGCTGACACACATTCTTATTGGGTTGGCTCTCTCCTGCCCTTGGTCTGCCAGTCCTCTTCTCCCACTCTGTGTGTGTGTGAGAGAGAGAGAGACAGAGACAGAGAGAGAGACAGAGAGAGCAGCTTCCTGTTGCTTCCTGCTTCCTGCTGAGATGCAGCAAAGGGAGGAGCCCCGCCCAATAAGCTTGTCAGAGGACAGCGTGAGGCCACTCTCTTTTTTACACACACACAGAGGGGGGGGGAAGCGCAAATGCCTCTCTCTGTCTCTCTGCAAATGGCGGAGGCGGCTGGGAGCCGCAGGAGAAGGCTCAAAGAACCACATTTGGCTCCGGAGCCGCGGGTTGCCGACCCGTGGGCCCTAACCTCTGCTGAAGAAGTTAGCCTGGCAACGAAACATTCGGAAACCAATCCACAAGCTCGGAGAACGAACCTCCACCCTCATATATTATCCTCCCCTAGTTGAACACTGACAAATCTGTTGCACCCATAGCTTCTCCCCTTGCAAAGCAGGTCCAAAATGTATAAGCTTGTGCCTCTATTTGCACATCCTTCAAATCTTAAAAAAAAAAAAGATACGTGCTTGGATAACAGGTTCTAGATCACTGTTTTACCGGAACCCTTGCTTTCCACAGGCTGTTGAGTCTGAAAAAGAAAACAGATGAGAAAGGCACTCAAACAGAACAAGAAGCCAAGAAGAAAGAAGAGAGAAGTGAAAGTGTAAGTACTACTCCTTTACCAATAGAAGAAGATATTTGTAGCTGAGGGTTGAACTGTGGGGTCTTTGGTGTTCCCTGGGCTTGGTGGTTTCCCTGCAGACATTTCGTTACCCACCTAGGTAACATCATCAGTGCTAGAAGAGAAGGGAGGGAGGTTTACAAGAGGAAGAGGAGGTCTATGGGGGCCTTGGTGCTGTCTGAGTTGGTTGTTTTCTTGCAGGTGTTTCATTACCCAGCTAGGTAACATTATCAGTGCCAGAAGGGAGGAGGAGGAGGAGGAGGCCTGTGGCGCTCTCTGAGCTTGGAAGTTTTCTTGTAAACATTTCATTACTCAACTAGATGACCTTCTGAAGATGTTACCTAATTACCTTATCAAGATGTTATCTATTGGATAATAAAACGGTCTGCAAGAAATCAGCCAAGCTCAGAGAGCACCAAAGACTCCACTACTCGTTTATTCACACTCGGTACGCCAAACCCGGTCGGAATTTTGTCATTTCGTTCCTCTGAAACTCAAGAAAGTTACTTAAACGAACTTCTTTCCGTCGTTTGTGCCCGACCACGCTTTCATATAAAGTCTTATGCATTGCGTATCTCAGAATGTTTCATTATGGCATGCTTGCCTTCTTCGGTAAGAGTCAGTAGGCCAGGGGTAGACAACCTTGGCTCTTTTATGACTCGTGGACTTCAACTCCCAGAATTCCTGAGCCAGCCACGCTGAGGGGAAAGGGAGAGGTTTCCATGCTGAGCCATGCTGGCTCAGGAATTCAGGGAGTTGAAGTCCACGAGTCATAAAAGAGCCAAGGTTGCCTACCCCTGCAGTAGGCAGAGAGCAGAGAGTCTGGCTTAGCTACAGATGGGACCTCCCGTGTTCAGATGGCCAAATTTGTGTCAGTGTAGACACCAAACAAGGGAAGCAAGGGGAGATGGCATGGACAACTTGCAGGTTATAAATTTTGTCATCATTCTAGTTTGGACAACTCACTCAGCCAACAAATAAGAACTAGAAAAGGGGAAATTATTAATGTAATATTTAATAAAAGACATAGATTTATATAGAGCTAGCCCAGTACCGGGTCACGTTAATTGCAGAGATATTTCCGACCAGCAAGTCATTCTGTGGGCACTGTAAAAGATGGATAGTTGTTTGAATAGTGCCGCATCTACAGAATTCCTAGAATGCAGAAAATGAGGAGATCTGATACCTCCCATATTTGTTAGACCCAGAGGCCTCCATGAAAGGAATGGCTAGTGGTGAGGAACTGCCTTTAATGCAAACAGAGTTGAATTTCCTAGTCTTGCTGTTAACAGCAATGAGACGAATAGAGGAGAATATTTGTAGCTCAGGGTTGAAATTGGCCATCGACAGGCACACAGAGGTAAACAACGTCTACATACCACTCAAAAGAGACAATCAAAAAGTTAAAAGGCCACAGTGCCTCCCCACCAGCAATCAACATCCAGATGGGCAGAGATTAAGATCAAGGCAATCAGACCAGCAATCAAGTGAACAGTATCCCAATCAAGGAACTGCCAAACGAGCTAACTGTAAACAGCAAATGTAGGCAGTTCACACGAGCACAAAGATTTATTGCAAGCTTAAGGTCTTTACAAGAATCTGAACTATATGTTCAGTTTAAAGATGAAAGAGGAACAAAGGTGGTGGCTTACAAAAAAAAACTATATAAAATGTTTTACAGATGGCACTTAACACCTGTGAGGTTAGCATAAATGTTTAAAAATATGTCTAGCAATTGTTGGAAATGTAGACAAAAACCAGGCACATATTATCATCTTTGGTGGACATGCCCTAAAGCCAAAAGATTTTGGTCAAGAATAAATATGTGGTTAGAGAAAATGACTAAAAAAACACATGGATTTTAAGCCAGAATTATTTTTATTAAGTATAATTGTAGGAAATTATGAGAAGGAATGTGTATACTTAATGTTACATGTGTTAACTGCAGCAAGAATTGTATTTACTCAGCATTGGAAAGATGAAGAATTATCAGCGGAGGAAGAGATAATTAAGAAAATCTTAGACTGTGCAGAAATGGACAGACTGACAGTGAAAATGAAAGAGAAAGAAGATTCCGAATATTTTAGAACATGGGATACATTTTATCAATGGCTAGAAAAATGAGGTAGAAAGAAAGGAGTTGAACATGTATTAGTGAGCTAAATATTGAAACCCAGACAATATGTTGCTGATAAAATATTAAGCATTTGTGACTATAAAAAATTAATAAAATATTGGGGGGGGAAGAATCTGAACTACTAAGGATCCAGGCAAATTGGCGGTAGAGTCAATGGAATTCAAGGTGGGCTGGACTTAGATCTCTTGTGGGCACGAAGGGATGCCAGACTAATGATGCACTTAACCCCCTCTCTCGGGCTCAGCTTGGTCATCTCCTATAAACACAATCAAGAAATCACCAAGAACATCCACACTGATAGGGCAACCCACTAGAATAGAAATTGAGAACAAACCCTACTTCCTTCTAGCACTGATAATGTTACCTAGTTGGGTCCTGAAATGTCTGCAAGAGAGCCACCCTGTTCAGAGAGCACCAAGCCCCCCCCATAAGGATCCTGGATGGGACATTGGCAGATGTTCTCAGCATTCAGAATGAGATTGTGCCCATCACAAATGGGTTGTCGTTCTTAATTTCCTACCCCTGCTGCAAAATGGGAGTGTCTATAATCCAAAGAGAGATTTTAGATAAATCCATTTTTTAAGCAATTCTAAATATTTGTAGGCCCATCGTGTCCCCTCCCACGCACAACTGAAAAATAGTGTGAATTTTTAACTTAGTTGCAAGAAACCTCTACTTAAACAGAGGCTCTCCCTCAAGTGACAAGCAGTGGTGTGTTTTGCAGGATCAGCGAGGAATACGTGCTGGTTTTGTAGGACCAGTGCATGTGTTATTCCTGTAGTGTGCCTCAAGGGCACAAACAAGACTCTTTTTTATTATTATTATTATTATTATTATTATTATTATTATTATTATTATTATTATTATTATTATTATTATTATTATTATTATTATTATTATTATTATGAGTGGGTGATTCATCTAGAATCGGGCTACCTGTTTGACTTCTTTATGCTGTTAGCAACGTTCTTTTTGCAGCTTGTCATGTTTTCAGCAAGACACAATTGGTTTTCCAGTTGTTGAATTCTTTCATTTAGGTGGGCAGTGAAGTGGAAACACTAAACCTGCAAGTATCGGCCCTCTTCAGAGAGCTGCAGGAGACCCACGCCAAGTTAAAAGAAGCAGACGTAATTCAGAAAAAGCTGCATGAAAGGTAAGCATTGGATACTGCCAAATCTCTTTTGAGTCCAATTCAACTCCTTCATTTAATTAATACCGCTTTACAAGGCCTTGGTAAGGCCACACTTGGAATACTGCATCCAGTTTTGGTCACCACGATGTAAAAAAGATGTTGAGACTCTAGAAAGAGTGCAGAGAAGAGCCACAAAGATGATTAGGGGACTGGAGGCTAAAACATATAAGGAACGGTTGCTGGAATTGGGTATATCTAGTCTAATGAAAAGAAGGACGAGGGGTGACAGGATAGCAGGGTTCCAATATCTTAGAGGCTGCCACAAAGAAGAGAGAGTCAAGCTATTTTCCAAAGCACCTGAAGGCAGGAAAAGAAGCAACGGATGGAAACTAATCAAGGAGAGACGCAACCTAGAATTAAAGAGAAATTTCCTGACAGTGAGAACAATTAACCAGTGGAACAATTTGCTTCCAGAAGCGGTGAATGCTCCAACACTGGAAGTTTTTAAGAAGAGACTGAACAGCCATTTGTCTGAAATGGTATAGGGTTTCCTGCCTGAGTAGGGGGTTGGACTAGATAGCCTCCAAGGTCCCTTCCAACTTTTTTATTAGTAGTAGTAGTAGTAATAGTAGTAGTAGTAGTAGCAGCAGCAGTAGTTTATGTATTACCATGTTTTCCCCAAAGTAAGACCTGCCCCGAAAATAAGCCCTAGTTTTGGGGCAAGGCCCACGCTTTAAAATCAAGTTAGGGCAGGGTGTGTGGTGGGGTTGGAGCTTACCATTGCAGCCAGGCCTCCCATGGATCGACACTTGCCTCGCTGGCCCACTTCTTCTGTGGCCGAAGGAGCAGCTTCCTTCTGCAGCTGAGAATGGAGCTCCTCATTTTACTGACCTTGGAAGGATGGGAGGCTGAGTCATCCTTCAGCTGGTCAGGATCGAACTGCTGGCAGTGGGCAGAATTAGCTGGATTAGCCTGCAATACTGCATTTTAACCACTGTGTACGATGGATGGAATGGATGGATGGAAGGAAAAGTAAGGAAGGAAGGAAGGAAGGAAGGAAGCAAAGAAGGAAGGGGAAAAGGAAGAACAATAGCACTTAGACTTATATACCGCTTCACGGTGCTTTACAGCCCTCTCTAAGCGGTTTACAGAGTCAGCCTGTTGCCCCCAACAATCTGGGTCCTCATTTTACTGACCTCGGAAAGAGGGAAGGCTGAGTTGATCTTGGGCTGGTCAGGATCGAACTGCCGGCAATGGAATGCAGAGTCAGCCTGCAATACTGCCTTCTAACCACCGCGTACCATGAATGGATGGATGGATAGATGGAAGGAAGGGGAAAAGAACAACAGCAATAGAAATAGCACTTAGACTTACATACCGCTTCGTAGTGCAGCCCTCTTTAAGCAGTTTACCGAGTCAGCACGTTGCCCCCAACAATCTGGGTCCTCATTTTACCAACCTCGGAAGGATGGAAGGCTGAGTCAACCTTCAGCCGGTCAGGATCGAACTCCTGGCAGTGAGCAGAGTCAGCCTGCAATCCTGTCTTCTAACCGCTGTGCCACCAGGGCTTTTTATCTGAAAAGATGCTGGTGGTTCCTTCTGATTTTTAGCCGTGTTTCTTCTCCATCGCCCAGGTGTCAGATTCTTGAGAGGGAACACTCTGTCAGGGTTGGAGACCTGGATGAGAAGCAGCAGTTGTTGTACACCATTAAGAAGTTGGAGCTGCAAGTGGAGAGCATGCAGTCGGAAATCAAGCTGGAGCAGGCTAAAACCAACGACGAGAAGTGAGTGTAGCCCCAGGAATAAAGAATTGGGGACGGGATCTCCTCGTGTAAAAGTGACAACAAACATCTATGGAGGTTCTCAGTCATCCAGGTCATGGTTGTCCCAAAGGTGCTTTTTCCAAAAGGCAAACTGGACTTTATGGGGGGGGGGGGTTCTTCTTTGAACTGAAGAAGCTTCTTGGATGGGAAGCACAACATTTTCAAGGAAAAATACCAAGAAAGTCCAGTTGCCTTTTTTTTGGGGGGGGGGAGAAGCACCTTTGGGATAGTGATAGCAAATATTTTATTTCTTATTTCCTTATCTCTACATATACGTATATACAGTATTCTACGTATATATTCAAGATGGACAGTATTTAATATTTATTTGTTGTGTGTATGTAGGGGTGTGGGTCTATACATATGTTGTATATAGTATGTTTAGGTGTGTGTCATGTATGTGTTTCACTTTGAGAGCGGGCAACTACATTTCATTTTTGATGTGTGCCGTTGTGCCCACAGTAAAAAAATGACAATAAAGGTTATCTATCTATCTATCTATCTATCTATCTATCTATCTATCTATCTATCTATCTATCTATCTATCTATCTATCTATCTATCTATCTATCTATCTATCTAGTCTGTTTGTCTGTCTGTCTGTCTGTCTATCTTACTATCTATCTTATCTGTCTGTCTATCTATCTATCTTGTCTGTCTGTGTATCTATCTTATCTATCTATGTATCTATCTCTTATCTGTCTATCTATCTGTCTATGTATCTATCTTGTCTGTCTGTCTGTCTGTCTGTCTGTCTGTCTATCTATCTATCTATCTATCTATCTATCTATCTATCTATCTTATCTGTCTATCTAATCTATCTATCTAATCTATCTGTCTATCTACAGTATCTATCTATCTTATCTATCTATCTATCTTGTCTGGCTGTCTATCTATCTAATCTATCTTATCTATCTATGTATCTATCTATCTTATCTGTATCTATCTTATCTATCTATGTATCTATCTATCATATCTGTGTCTATCTCTTATCTATCTATGTATCTATCTATCATATCTGTGTCTATCTCTTATCTATCTATGTATCTATCTATCTTATCTGTATCTATCTTATCTATCTATGTATCTATCTATCATATCTGTNTGTCTGTCTGTCTGTCTGTCTGTCTGTCTGTCTGTCTGTCTATCTATCTATCTTATCTATCTATGTATCTATCTACCCTGTCTGTCTGTCTGTCTGTCTGTCTGTCTGTCTGTCTGTCTGTCTGTCTGTCTATCTATCTATCTATCTATCTATCTATCTATCTATCTATCTATCTATCTATCTATCTATCTATCTATCTATCTATCTATCTATCTATCATCTATCGCCAAGCAGAGTTTCCAGATGGAAAGCTGGTTAAAGCTGCACTGCGGATTTGGCTTTAGCAGGCTGAATTTTATAGCTTAAAAGCTCTTTTATTGGCATCCGGTGGCTTCTTCATGTATTATTTCTTTGCAGTTATATTCTGAATATATATTCATCTTCTGAGGGCACGCGCAAGTGCAAATCCATCCAGAATCTTGTGTGATTTGCAGATATCGTTTCCTTTGCTGCTCTTTTTGTGTTCGTTCTATTAAGGGGGCAAGTGAGAGAGAGCCCCATGTGGGTGCTGAACTTTCTGTTTTAATTTTGTTTTCATTGTCCTCCTCTAGAGCCAAGTTCAGCTGCCTCCAGGATGCGAACGGCAAGCTTGTAAAGGAACTGACCGAGGCTTTGCAAACCGTTGAAGAATTAAAAGGCAAAGAGGTGAGCTTTGCTCTAGAGCAGAACCCTGGCAGAAAGTGACGGAGGGGACGTGTGTGGGAGAACACTGTTGGCTTCCCTCTTGCCTCCCAGGCAGATATTAGAAACATGATGACTTTGGCCCGCTGTGAAATTCCTGTGAATATTGACCCTGCTGAGAACAGCAGGATTGGGGTAAGGATGGGAAGCCATCTTGGATAGCTACTCCTTAAACCTACACTGGATCTCCTCCTCCTCCTCCTCCTCCTCCTCTCTTCTTCTCCTTCTGTCTCCTCCTCCTCCTCCTTCCTCCACCTTCTCCTCCTTCTATCTCCTCCTTCTTCTCTTCTCCTCCTGTCTTCTATCTCCTCCTCCTCCTATCTCCTCCTCCTTCTATCTCCTTCTCTTCTCCTCCTATCTCCTCCTCCTATCTCTTCCTTCTCCTCCTCTGCCTCCTCCTATCTCCTCCTCCTTCTATCTCCTCCTTCTGTCTACCTGTCTGCCACCTCCTTCCTCCACCTTCTCCTCCTTCGATCTCCTTCTCTTCTCCTCCTGTCTTCTATCTCCTCCTCCTCCTCTTATCTCTTCCTTCTCCTCCTCTGCCTCCTCCTATCTCCTCCTCCTTCTATCTCCTTCTCTTCTCCTTCTATCTCCTCCTCCTATCTCTTCCTTCTCCTCCTCTGCCTCCTCCTATCTCCTCCTTCTATCTCCTCCTCCTTCTATCTCCTCCTTCTGTCTATTTGTCTGCCACCTCCTTCCTCCATCTTCTCCTCCTTCTATCTCCTCCTTCTTCTCTTCTCCTCCTGTCTTCTATCTCCTCCTCCTCCTCTTATCTCTTCCTTCTCTTCCTCTGCCTCCTCCTATCTCCTCCTCCTTCTATCTCCTCCTTCTGTCTACTTGTCTGCCACCTCCTTCCTCCACCTCCTCCTCCTCCTATCTCCTCTCCTCCTCCTCCATCTTCTATCTCCTCCTGCTCTTTTGTCTATCTCCTCCTCTGCCTCCTCCTTCCTCCACCTTCTCCTCCTCCTTCTCCACTCGCCCCTCCTCCTCCACCACCTCCCATATGGGATGTTTTTCAACTTCCAAGCCTACATTATATTTCCTGGTAGTCTCTCATCCAAGCAGGAACCAGGTCCAATCCTGCCTGGCCATTTTTTTAAAAGATTGGCTCGGTGACTAGGCCCCTGGAATTCAGCAGGCGATATCCCTGATTCAACCCACTGCAGGCGCAAAGGATAGACCAGGCAACCTTAGACGAATTAATTCACAAACTGGATCTTGCCGAAAAGGCACTGGCTGCCAAGCAGTTGCAGATCGACAAAATGAAGCAGACTCTTACGAAGCAAGAAGAAGAGCTTGAGACTGTGGCTGTCCTGCAAGCTCAGGTATGGCTGAACAGGGTTTAAACTTCCCAGGTCTAGTCTGTAGCTTGAGATTCCCTGGTGGTCTTCCATCCTGATCATGACCGCATCTGGCCCTGCTTAGTTGCAAAGTCCAGTCAGGTCCTGTCACCTGAAAATGTTGGCGAGATCCTCTTCATTTGATCTCAACTCCTGATGACTTTATGGATGCGTCCACCTAGCTTTTTGGGGGTGTTTATTTCAATTTCCCAGACAGGGTTAGATTTCCTAGTGGTCTTCCATCCATTCCTCACCAGGGCTGGACCTATTTAGCTTCCATACTAGGTCAACCAGATGCTGCCAACGTGGTTAAATGAGTAAGGGCTGAAGATTAGATTTCAGAATAAAAATATTGGGGCTGTTTGAAGTGAGATCGTTGTTTTCCTGAGCAGATGGAGGTCTACTATTCGGATTTCCATGCGGAAAGAGCCGCGCGGGAGAAGATCCATGAGGAAAAAGAGCAATTAGCCACACAGTTGGCGTACTTCTTGGCTGAGAAAGAAGAACGTGGAGATCTTGGCAGGTGAGGAACCAAAGAAGGACCTCTTTCTATGTCTAGCAAAGAAAGACTCAAAGAAAACCCTTCTCCATCAAGGTTCTTGTCACCTTGTTCAGTTAATTTGACTACCGCAATGCACTCTACTTGTGGCTGCCCTTGAAGACAGTTTGGAAGCTTCAGCAGGTCCAGAAGGCAGTGACATGGGCAATTTTGGGTCCATCACATGATATCCTTGTTAATGCCACTGCTTTGTATGGTATGTTTTTCCCCAGTTGACTTCTGGGTTCAGTTCAAAGTGCTGGTCACTTCCCATAAACTCCTTCCTGGCAGAGGGTTGGGTTAGTTCAGGGATAGGCAACCTTGGCTCTTTTATGACTCGTGGACTTCAACTCCCAGAATTCCTGAGCCAGCATGGCTCAGCATGGAAACCTCTCCCTTTCCCCTCAGCAGGGCTGGCTCAGGAATTCTGGGAGTTGAAGTCCACAAGTTGACACGTTAGGAGATCCCTACCTTAAAAGTTGCCCCCAAGTGTTGGCCACAGTATTCAGTGAACTTTGCATTGGTTTGGTTCCTAGATCCTAGGGCACCTTTGAGTGAGATTTTAGCAGCTTGACATTATATTGCTTGCCGCTGTTGTTATTTGATCTATTGAGTTCTTGTTCTAAATTGTCATTAGTCCATCCAGCATCAGGCCCCAAGATCAGCAACCAAGGAACTCTGTTTAATAATAATAATAATAATAATAATAATAATAATAATAATAATAATAATAATAATAATAATAATAATAATAATAATAATAATAATTTCTCTCGTGGAAATTGAGAATGAAAATGCACTCTCCTTCCCCTCAGGTGCTCCTTGGCAGAAATGCAAACCCGTCATGGAACCAGGCTGCCATCAGATCAAGGTAATTCACCTGGTTTTGCACAGGAAGGTAGGACAAAATTTGGATACCTGTTAGAATGGAGTCTTTGTTTAGACCAGGGGTAGGCAACCTTGGCTCTTTTATGACTCATGGACTTCAACTCCCAGAATTCCTGAGCCAGCATGGCTCAGCTTGGAAACCTCTCCTGGCTCAGGAATTCTGGGAGTTGAAGTCCACGAGTCATAAAAGAGCCAAGGTTGCCCACCCCTGGTTTAGACCATAAATACAGACCGGGTTCTGTTTTGCAAGCAGAAGCGGTTTGACCATAGAAAAGAACATTTGTAGCTCAGGGTTGAACTGCGGGGGTCCATGGAGGCCTCTGAGCTGGGTGATTTAGCCGTCTGAAAGGGGGTGATAAAACTGGAGAAAAAATAAAGGAAAATTGAATTGAATTGAATACAAGTAGTTCTCGACTTACTACAGTTTATTTAGTGACCGTTTGACGTTACAATGGCACTGAAAAAAGTGACTTATGACCACTGGTGGAATTCAAATACCCGAACAACCGGTTCTCTTATTTGATGCAGACCACCGAGGCTTAGAACGGACTTCCGGAAGTGGCATCCACCCACTTCCAGTGGGCCATTCTAAGCCTGGAGCCTCTAGGCCTCCGAGGCCTGGAGCCTCTAGGCCTCCGAGGCCTGGAGCCTCTAGGCCTCCGAGGCCTAGAGTGGATTTCCGGAAGTGGCATCCACGCACTTCCAGTGAGCCATTCTAGGCCTGGAGGCCTCCAGGCCTCCGAGGCCTAGAACGGACTTCTGGAAGCCAGCCGGTTCTCCGAATGCAGCAAAATGTAGCTACTGGTTCTACCGAACCGGTGCGAACCGGCTGAATCCCACCACTATTTATGACAGTTTTTCACACTTAACGACCACTGCAGCATCCCCAGGGTCACATGATCAAAATTCAGGCGCTTGGCAACTGACTCATATTCATGGATCCCAGGATCATGTGATCTCCTTTTGCAATCTTCTGAGAAGTACAATCAATGGAGGAAGCCAGATCCACTTAACAACTGTATTGCTAACTGAACAGCTGCAGTGATTTACTTAACAACTGTGGCAAGAAAGGTCATAAAATGGGGCAAAACTCACTTAATAAATGTCTCACTTAGCAACAGAAATTTTGGGCTCAATTGTGGTCGTAAGTCGAGGACTACCTGAATTTGATTCTGTCTGGATCTAAAAGCTTGAAATTTTGATAATCTTAATTTTGATGGCCCATTTGACTAGATCAGCTATCTTAGTTTAGAGCTATTCTCATTCCTTTACAATTTGTTCTATATGCATCTATTATTCTATATGCATCTATTATTCAATGTGTATTTCTCAAATATATATATATATATTTCTTTTTTTAAAAAAAAAAATCTGTACCTGCAGGAGCAGAAGACCAGAATCACCAACAGCAGTCAAGGGATATTCCTATACATTCTTGTCCAAAATGTGGAATAATTCTTCCAGATATAGATACACTTCAGATTCATGTTATGGACTGTATCACCTAAACAATGTTTTCAGAAATGCTTGGAAACAAAACCTGCACTTTGTAAGAAAATANTCTGTGTCTATCTCTTATCTATCTATGTATCTATCTATCATATCTGTGTCTATCTCTTATCTATCTATGTATCTATCTATCTTATCTGTATCTATCTTATCTATCTATGTATCTATCTATCATATCTGTGTCTATCTCTTATCTATCTATGTATCTATCTATCATATCTGTGTCTATCTCTTATCTATCTATGTATCTAATCTGTCTATCTGTGTATGTATCTATGTATCTATCTATCTTATCTGTCTATCTAATCTATCTGTCTATCTACAGTATCTATCTATCTTATCTATCTATCTATCTTGTCTGTCTGTCTAGCTATCTATCTAATCTATCTATCTATCTATCTATCTATCTATCTATCTATCTATCTATCTATCTATCTATCTATCTATCTATCTTATCTATCTACCTTGTCTGTCTGTCTGTCTGTCTGTCTGTCTGTCTGTCTGTCTGTCTGTCTATTTATCTATCTATCTTATCTATCTATGTATCTATCTACCCTGTCTCCTGTCTGTCTGTCTGTCTGTCTGTCTGTCTGTCTGTCTGTCTGTCTGTCTGTCTGTCTGTCTGTCTGTCTGTCTGTCTGTCTGTCTGTCTGTCTGTCTGTCTGTCTATCTATCTATCTATCGCCAAGCAGAGTTTCCAGATGGAAAGCTGGTTAAAGCTGCACTGCGGATTTGGCTTTAGCAGGCTGAATTTTATAGCTTAAAAGCTCTTTTATTGGCATCCGGTGGCTTCTTCATGTATTATTTCTTTGCGGTTATATTCTGAATATATATTCATCTTCTAGGGCACGCGCAAGTGCAAATCCATCCAGAATTTTGTGTGATTTGCAGATATTGTTTTCTTTGCTGCTCTTTTTGTGTTCGTTTTATTAAGGGGGAAAGTGAGAGAGAGCCTCTGTGGGTGCTGAACTTTCTGTCTTAGTTTTGTTTTCATTGTCCTCCTCTAGAGCCAAGTTCAGCAGCCTCCAGGATGCGAACGGCAAGCTTGTAAAGGAACTGACCGAGGCTTTGCAAACCGTTGAAGAATTAAAAGGCAAAGAGGTGAGCTTTGCTCTAGAGCAGAACCCTGGCAGAAAGTGACGGAGGGGACGTGTGTGGGAGAACACTGTTGGCTTCCCTCTTGCCTCCCAGGCAGATATTAGAAACATGATGACTTTGGGCAGCTGTGAAATTCCTGTGAATATTGACCCTGCTGAGAACAGCAGGATTGGGGTAAGGATGGGAAGGCATCTTGGATAGTTACTCCTTAAACCTACACTGGATCTCCTCTTCCTCCTCCTCCTCCTCTCTTCTTCTCCTTCTGTCTCCTCCTCTGCTTCCTCCTTCCTCCACCTTCTCCTTCTTCTCTTCTCCTCCTGTCTTCTCTTCTCCTCCTGTCTTCTATCTCCTCCTCTTATCTCTTCCTCCTCTGTCTCCTCTTATCTCCTCCTCCTCCTATCTCCTCCTTCTTCTCCTCCTGTCTTCTATCTCCTACTCCTCTTATCTCTTCCTTCTCCTCTGCCTCCTCCTATCTCTTCCTCCTTCTATCTCCTCCTCCTTCTATCTCCTCCTTCTGTCTATTTGTCTGCCACCTCCTTCCTCCATCTTCTCCTCCTTCTTCTCTTCTCCTCCTGTCTTCTATCTCCTCCTCCTCCTCTTATCTCTTCCTTCTCCTCCTCTGCCTCCTCCTAGCTTCTCCTCCTTCTATCTCCTCCTTCTGTCTACTTATCTGCCACCTCCTTCCTCCACCTTCTCCTCCTCCTCCTCCTCCTATCTCCTCTTCTCCTCCTCCATCTTCTATCTCCTCCTGCTCTTTTGTCTATCTCCTCCTCTGCCTCCTCCTTCCTCCTCCACCTTCTCTTCCTCCTCCACCTCCTCCTTCTCCACTCACCCCTCCTCCTCCACCACCACCTCCCATATGGGATGTTTTTCAACTTCCAAGCCTACATTACATTTCCTGGTAGTCTCTCATCCAAGCAGGAACCAGGTCCAATCCTGCCTAGCCATTTTTTAAAAGATTGGCTCGGTGACTAGGCCCCTGGAATTCAGCAGGCGATATCCCTGATTCAACCCACTGCAGGCGCAAAGGATAGACCAGGCAACCTTAGACGAATTAATTCACAAACTGGATCTTGCCGAAAAGGCACTGGCTGCCAAGCAGTTGCAGATCGACAAAATGAAGCAGACTCTTACGAAGCAAGAAGAAGAGCTTGAGACTGTGGCTGTCCTGCGAGCTCAGGTATGGCTGAACAGGGTTTAAACTTCCCAGGTCTAGTCTGTAGCTTGAGATTCCCTGGTGGTCTTCCATCCTGATCATGACTGCATCTGGCCCTGCTTAGTTGCAAAGTCCAGTCAGGTCCTGTCACCTGAAAATGTTGGCGAGATCTTCTTCACTTGATCTCAACTCCTGATGACTTTATGGATGCGTCCACCTAGCTTTTGGGGGGTGTTTTTTTCAATTTCCCAGACAGGGTTAGATTTCCTAGTGGTCTTCCATCCATTCCTCACCAGGGCGGGACCTATTTAGCTTCCAAACTAGGTCAACCAGATGCTGCCAACATGGTTAAATGAGTAAGGGGTGAAGATTAGATTTCAGAATAAAAATATTGGGGCTGTTTGAAGTGAGATCGTTGTTTTCCTGAGCAGATGGAGGTCTACTACTCGGATTTCCATGCAGAAAGAGCCGCGCGGGAGAAGATCCATGAGGAAAAAGAGCAATTAGCCACACAGTTGGCGTACTTCTTGGCTGAGAAAGAAGACCGTGGAGATCTTGGCAGGTGAGGAACCAAAGAAGGACTTCTTTCTATGTCTAGCAAAGAAAGACTCAAAGAAAACCCTTCTCCATCAAGGTTTTGTCACCTTGTTCAGTTAATTTGACTACCATAATGCACTCTACTTGTGGCTGCCCTTGAAGACAGTTTGAAAGCTTTAGCAGGTCCAGAAGGCAGTGACATGGGCAATTTTGGGTCACCACATGATATCCTTGTTAATGCCACTGCTTTGTATGGTATGTTTTTTCCCAGTTGGCTTCTGGGTTCAATTCAAAGTGCTGGTCACCTCCCATAAACTCCTTCCTGGCAGAGTGTTGGGTTAGTTCAGGGATAGGCAACCTTGACTCTTTTATGACTCGTGGACTTCAACTCCCAGAATTCCTGAGCCAGCATGGCTCAGCATGGAAACCTCTCCCTTTCCCCTCAGCAGGGCTGGCTCAGGAATTCTGGGAGTTGAAGTCCACAAGTTGACACGTTTGGAGATCCCTGCCTTAAAAGTTGCCCCCAAGTGTTGGCCACAGTATTCAGTGAACTTTGCATTGGTTTGGTTCCTAGATCCTAGGGCACCTTTGAGTCAGATTTTAGCAGCTTGACATTATATTGCTTGCCACTGTTGTTATTTGATCTATTGAGTTTTTGTTCTAAATTGTCATTAGTCCACCCAGCATCAGGCCCCAAGATCAGCAACCAAGGAACTCTTTTTTAATAAATAATAATAATAAAAATTCCTCTCGTGGAAATGGAGAATGAAAATGCACTCTCCTTCCCCTCAGGTGCTCCTTGGCAGAAATGCAAACCCGTCACGGAACCAGGCTGCCATCAGATCAAGGTAATTTACCTGATTTTGCACAGGAAGGTAGGACAAAATTTGGATACCTGTTAGAATGGAGTCTTTATTTAGACCAGGGGTAGGCAACCTTGGCTCTTTTATGACTCGTGCACCTCAACTCCCAGAATTCCTGAGCCAGCATGGCTGGCTCAGGAATTCTGGGAGTTGAAGTCCACGAGTCATAAAAGAGCCAAGATTGCCTACCCCTGGTTTAGACCATAAATACAGACCGGGTTCTGTTTTGCAAGCAGAAGCGGTTTGACCATAGAAAAGAACATTTGTAGCTCAGGGTTGAACTGCGGGGTCCATGGAGACCTCTGAGCTGGGTGGTTTAGCCGTCTGAAAGGGGATGATAGAACTGGAGAAAGAAAAAATAAAGGAAAATTGAATTGAATTGAATACAAATAGTCCTCGACTTACTACAGTTTATTTAGTGACCGTTTGACGTCACAATGGCACTGAAAAAAGTGACTTATGACCACTGGTGGAATTCAAATACCCGAACAACCAGTTCTCTTATTTGATGCAGACCGCCGAGGCTTAAAACGGACTTCTGGAAGTGGCATCCACCCACTTCCAGTGGGTCATTCTAGGCCTGGAGCCTCTAGGCCTCCGAGGCCTGGAGCCTCTAGGCCTCCGAGGCCTGGAGCCTCTAGGCCTCCGAGGCCTGGAGCCTCTAGGCCTCCGAGGCCTGGAGCCGCTAGGCCTCCAAGGCCTAGAGTGGATTTCCGGAAGTGGCATCCACGCACTTCCAGTGGGCCATTCTAGGCCTGGAGGCCTCCAGGCCTCCGAGGCCTAGAACGGACTTCTGGAAGCCAGCCGGTTCTCCGAATGCAGCAAAATGTAGCTACTGGTTCTACCGAACCGGTGCGAGCCGGCTGAATCCCACCACTATTTATGACAGTTTTTCACACTTAACGACCACTGCAGCATCCCCAGGGTCACATGATCAAAATTCAGGCGCTTGGCAACTGACTCATATTCATGGATCCCAGGATCATGTGATCCCCTTTTGCAATCTTCTGAGAAGTACAATCAATGGAGGAAGCCAGATCCACTTAACAACTGTATTGCTAACTGAACAGCTGCAGTGATTTACTTAACAACTGTGGCAAGAAAGGTCATAAAATGGGGCAAAATTCACTTAATAAATGTCTCACTTAGCAACAGAAATTTTGGGCTCAATTGTGGTCGTAAGTCGAGGACTACCTGAATTTGATTCTGTCTGGATCTAAAAGCTTGAAATTTTGATAATCTTAATTTTGATGGCCCATTTGACTAGATCAGCTATCTTAGTTTAGAGCTATTCTCATTCCTTTACAATTTGTTCTATATGCGTATACATCTATTATTCAATGTGTATTTCTCAAATATATATATATTTATTTCTTTTTTTTTAAAAAAAAATCTGTACCTGCAGGAGCAGAAGACCAGAATCACCAACAGCAGTCAAGGGATATTCCTATACATTCTTGTCCAAAATGTGGAATAATTCTTCCAGATATAGATACACTTCAGATTCATGTTATGGACTGTATCACCTAAACAATGTTTTCAGAAATGCTTGGAAACAAAACCTGCACTTTGTAAGAAAATAGCTCCATTTTCACCTTTGTTAGAAAGCATTTGGAACCTTAGTGGCTTCTTCCTAAGGCTTAGGGTTTAGTTATGCATTCAAAATTTACCTTACAAAAACTATGATATACATCATTATGATCAGTTTCCAATTAGCTGAAGATAAATGTGTCAATTGCATAATCAGTAGGAACCAACGCATTTTCAAGACAAGAAGGTAGAGATTATTTAATGCAGCCATTCAGTAGGAGCATCTGCTCATTTTGAAGTCTTACAGGCAGCTTCAAAGTTGCATATTTCTATTTATCCCATATTTTAAAAGGGTGCAGAACATTTTGAGGTTGAACCCTTTCTGTCGCTGTTTTGATCAGAATGATTCGTTTTATAGTCAGACCGCATCCACTAAACTCATGGTGAAATGAGAGCAGGACTTTAAAGGATTTAAACATCTCACCTTCAGTTTTTTTGTGTTTGTGTCTGGCTCTCTGTGTGGTACACAGATGGATGAAAGAGTCAGGTACGTTTAATCACAAGAAATACATGATGAAGGCCATTAACAAACAGGTAAAAACAAACGTGTTTATCGCAAATCGAGAAAACATTCACACTTGGATGTATGTAATTGTCGAAAACTGTTGTTGTTAATGTGGCATAGCTGTAAATGAAGAAAAAAAAGCAAGAGCAATAATCCATGCTGATTTTTTTTATTTGTGCTTTTGATTCCTGTTTAGTGATTATTTCAACATGCATCAAACAAAACACAAATTATTTGACTGATTAAATAGTGCGGGAGTCACTAGTGGTATAATTTAATACATGTTTTAAATGTTTATGTTCAAGCTTCATTTGTACCACTTATTGTTCCACAAGTACCTTACTAATGTAAAGTTTACAACAAAGCTAGGCAACCATTGAAGAAAAATATATGTCTACATCGCTGACCTTAGTTTTTACAGACGGTGAGCGGCCTTGTTTTAGCTAAATGAAGATTAGGTTGATTAACTGCCCAATAATACTTTGTTGCCCTCTTTTGATCCCTATGTTTGAAATTTCTTTTTAAAGAATCATCTGGATGTTATACTTGAAAAAAATAAAAGACTTAATGGCACAAGTGATAAACGAATTGTATTAATGAAAGAAAAAAATAAAGCCATATTCTGAAATATTTTGTTTTAAAGTTTACTGAAGAACCTAGAAGAACTGAATAGCTTCTTAAAACAGTGTTTTCAAGTGTTTTCTTTGGGTGCAACTGGACAAGATCTTTTAAACACTTAAGAGATTTCTTAATCTGATTTCTTATCTTGGAAAGCTCCTGTTTATTTATCTATCATGCGGGCCCAATAACCATATCAGATAGGTGGAAAGGATTAAAACTTTTATTTGCAAATAAAAGGTTGTCCGGAAGCAACTTACAAAATGGGCACACCCTGGCTTGGAGAGAACCCCTTTTTACATAATTTTGAACAGTATACATCACTAGGAACCAACCATAAAAGTAGACGTTATTGGAAACCAATCATAAAAGACAACATTGTTCCTACAATTCTTCAATAATCATAGTAACATAGTTCAAGATTCAACTGAACTTGAATCTAAATCAGGGGTCTTCAAACTTGGCCCTTTTATGACTTGTGGAGTTCAACTCCCAGAATTCCTCAGCCAGCGTGCTGAAGCGTTTATTTTATCATTATCATTCCTAAACAACTTGGTACCAGGGGAAAATGTATCATCTTAATGAGCAAGCATTCCTAAATGTAAATGGTTTGGTTTTACCTGTTTCTGTCATCTCTACTTAGCAAGCAGTCAATCAGCAGTCAAGACCTTCCTAATGATTGCAGTGCACCATTGCTATTGCTATGTGCTATATGGATTTAAACGGTTCACAACAAGGATCTTCAAACTTGGCAACTTTAAGACTTGTGAACTTCAACTCCCAGAATTCCTCAGCCAGCCCTGAAGTCCACAAGTCTTAAACTTGCCAAGTTTGAAGACCCCTGGTTTACAATATTTGGATAATAGAAAAATGGATTAAAATGGACTGTTGAAAGAAAAATCTTTATCAGGCTCCAGTCCAAGCCGGGAATAAACAAAATAGAGACTGCTTAGGAAAGAAGGTTCAGTTTATTTAGTTGCCAGAAACTCCAGTGACACAGCCTGTGTCTCTGGAGTGGCTGACAATATGGAGCTGGGAGTGGTGGGATTTTATACCTTTTATACCGTGGGCTTTTGTGTTTGGAGTTGTTCCTGTTCCTGCGGCATTGTATTTGAGCAGGGGTCTTCAAACCTGGCCCATTTATGACTTGTGGACTCCAACTCCCAGAATTCCTCAGTCAGGTAAGCTGGCTGAGGAATTCTGGGAGTTGAAGTCAACAAGTCATAAAAGGACCAAGTTTGAAGACCCCTGTATTTGAGGCTCATCCTGTTCCTATGCAATGAACTTTGACCTGGGGTTCAGTGTGTCCTTTTGGTATTCTAATGATGGTGGGTTAATCCTCCTAAAGGTCATGTTCCTTGGAGTCTTTGTTTTTCTAATCCCATCAGCTCAAACCTTCTCTGGGGCTGTGGCTGAAGGCATTTTGCTTATGAATAAGTGGCCCAGTCTTTCTGAATAGGATTATCAAATCTGCATTTCTACAGAATTGGCCTGCTTACTGCCCCAAGTTTCTGTTTGGGGCTATTAAGAAAAACTGGGTCTGCTTTTCTGCCTTTAAGAGCCTTTGGGAAATATAATATTCTGCCTTTTTAATATTCCCTAAAATATTTCCTTCTCGAGGTGGGGGTGGGGGGCTTACTTCCCACAAGACTGTCTCATCAGATTCAGACTCATACAGAAAAAAAGCTATCAATAGGAAGAATAATAGGAAGCCCCCACTCTGCCAGAGAATTTGCAACCACATCCAGAAGTGCAAACCAGCAACGCTCCTCAGCCTGGAGATATGCAGAATTGCTTCTTCAGCAACAACCTGTCTCCTTATACAGTGCAGACTTAACTGCCTGTGTCACCAATAAAACTATTTTCCTTAATTTAAGAAGCGTGACTTTTGCACAAAAGTTCATATACATACACTAAGAATACTGTAAATGCATTTTAAATCTTTATTGGAAAAGGATGCATCAGCTACATTCACACAACATGCTTAACCTGCATCTTGCATTAACCCAATTAACTCGGGTGAACTGTCAATTGCTTGCACAATTCACTAAGCTACTGGCAGGGGTGGGGGAATCGGGTTACCAGAGGTCACGCATGTGTGGATTCAATTTCCAAGCCTTCACGTGTCTGAACCAAGCCTCTGCCCTGCTAGTTGCACTTGGGAACTGCAAAATTAATGAATCCCGCTTTAAAACCTCTACATTTAAGCAACTGCACATGCGGCTCACAGGAGCGACTCTAATTTTCTTATCTCTTTGGCCCAATGGGCTTCAGCAAACCAATCACAGCCCGTTACGCATGCGTAGTTGTGAATGTCGGCGCCGCTTCGGGCAAGCTCTTTTTACTCCTCCAGTGCAGTTCCATAGAGATACTACCAAAGAAGTCTCTGGTTCAGTGCCCGGAACTGCGTGCAGACGCGTCGGGGGCGGGTCGGAATTGAAACTTTTGGCGGGTTTTCAGCAGTCTTTCTTCTTGGGCGGAAGGAAAAGCTGCAATCCAGGTAAGAAAGTTGCAATTTCGCCAAAACAGGGAGAAACAGGCTGCAAAAAAGGAATTTCAGCCAATGCATTGGTCAAAGAGAGGTTGGAGGGCTCGGGTGGGGTTCCCCAGTCCAAAGGAGGGGAGACAAAGCAATGGATTGCAGGGATTTCCAACCATCCGAGCAAATTCTAGGCAGCTGATCCGGCTTGACCCGGAAAGTGGAGTTGCAATTGCAAAGTATGCTTTTTGCAAACTTCCCTTAGAAGGGGGCTGCATTTTCAGCCTCTGCCCTAAACAAACTGGGAAGAGAGCAAAACCCAGTTGAGTTTCTCTCCCTGGAGTGGGAGTAAGTGCTCTGATTGTGCAAAGAATGGAAAAAATGGTAAAAAAAAATGTTTAAATCCCATTATTGGGATTTATTTTCAAGCAAGGGTTCGCGTTTTGGAACCATAGGGTGGATCAAGATGTTATTTTGGCTTATTTATACAATGTTTCTCAACCTCCGCAACATTAAGATGGGGGAGGGGACTTCAACTCCCAGAATTCCCCAGCCAGTTGTGCACTATTGAGTTAGTATGTTGTGTGAACCCAACTATTTGGGCTTGATTAAAAGAACCACATGAGAACAACATGCCAGCTTCTTTGAGATGATGGTTGGTTTTAAACAATTACCAGGATCATGAGATAAAATGAAAATTGAGAATAAACTCCAGCTTGCCCCCATGTTGCCAAGGAATTTTGGAAGAGTTTATTTCTTGTGCAACCAGGATTTCTGCATTTTCCCTTCACTCTTCTCATTCTCTCTGCATTTGAGTATGCATCAAGAATTTGTTTGTTTATTAAATTTATATGCCACCCATCTCACTAGCCGAAGTGACTCTGGACAGCTTACAGTGGTGTATAAAAGCATAAATATAAAAACATTAATGTATGTCTTGTCAATTGCATGGGGTTTCTGTGCCCCATTTGGCCTGGCCTGAAATCCTTCAAGATCATATTGTCAAAAAACTCAGTGGCAATTTTAAGTGTCGTGAGTTATTTATATATTGCACTTTAAAGTAAAGGTTTCATTTTAAAAATAAAAGGATCCCCAGCTGTTTGGACTTAAACTCTCCTCCAGCACCTCTCCCACTTCAATACACCCAAACCAGAGTTTTATACATGATTATATGTAAGTAAAAAGTTATTTTATTAGTGTTTCCTATTGCTTCTATGTTCCCAGAAAATAAGAATTCTTCTAAGTCTTTCCTGGTCTTTCTGAAAGAATGGATGGTGAGTACAGAATTCTTGTGGTTTTGAAATTTATCATATCCCATTCAGCATTGTACAGGATTCTGCAGGGTGAGGAGGGTCTTAGTTATCCATTGTACCTGAAATTGCTCATAATTTATCAATTTACAAGAGTACAAGTTTTAGCTACATACTTTTCATTACTCTTGAAAAGTCTCCTGAGTTTCGATGTGGGCACTGATGACGTTACCTAGTTTGGTAATGAAACGTCTGCAAGGAAAGCACCAAGGATTTCAGATGTGTGTTTTCCTGAAGCCATAGGCCTACTGTGAAAACTGAGGAAATAATGCTGCTCATATTTATTTATTTATTCATATTGTCCCAGCCCTGTCCATCTTGAAGTGTAGCTTTCAGCCAAGTATATATAGATGCATGCATACAGATAGTCCTCCACTTACAACCACAATTGAGCACAAAATTTCTGTTGCTAAATGAGACATATGTGAATCACGGCGGTTTTCAAATTAGTAACGTGGTTGTTAAGTGAATCCGGCTTCCCCCACTGACTTTGCTTGTCAGAAGGTAGCAAAAGGGGATCACGTGACCCCGGGACACTGCAACCGTCATAAATATGAATCAAGTTTTGATCATGTGGCCCCGGGGATGCTGCAACGGTCCTAAGTGTGAAAAACGATCATAAGTCCCTTTTTTCAGTGCCGTTGTAATTTCTAACAGTCACTAAACAAAACTGTTGTAAGTCTAGGACTGCCTGTAGTGGTTTACAATTGACTCATATGTATTGATATATTTACTACAGGGAGTTAAGGACAGCTTTAAATTGAATTGTCATTGATCAGTTGATATTTAAGGAGCAAATTGGCACTGCTTTTGAACAGGAAAACAGAAAACTTTCTTTTCTCTCAGGGATGGAATCAAATATTGAACGATATTCGTATTTCACTTGGTTTTAATAGTTGGAGGCGGAAGTGTTTGTAAGGCTGCTGTCAAGCTAGGAAGATTGCTTGTGTTAGGACTGCCATGCTGCTTCTAGCTTGCCTACAGTTGTGAGGGGGGGAAGGTTTGGAATGCCCAGGTGGATTCTATCCGGGTGGGAACCAAGGTCAACAAAGAGATGTTGTGGTGGAGAGAGATGTTCTTCTTATAACAACTGCCTGAGAGTTAATTGACAATGTGACCTGAACTGTCAAACAGAAGAGGGAAAGTTTTACTCTCTTAATTATCTTTTTCCCGACATATTGTCAGAGCTGGCTTTCAACTCTTTAGTGCCGGTATGCTGTACCCAATAAAGTTTTGCATTAGAGATCCAAATGGCTCTGTAGTGTATTCGCTTTGTTAGGATCCTTAGCTGGAACCTTGACAGCTGCTCTGTTGGATCATTGCTAACTTGACCATTACCCATTTTTTCTTCCAGGGGATGATGACTTAGACCTGTTAGCATCTCTCTTAGAGGAGAATGAAGCCCAAGAAGATTCTGCACAGGAGAAAAGAGCAGCTGAGCATCAAGATGAGTATGATTTACTCTTTGAGGCGGAAGACGATGAGTCCTACACCGAGGAGCTGGAAGCAGAAGAGGAGGGGTCCACTGGTAACCAGGAAAACATGGCTGAGATCTTTGGGGACGTGACTGACCTGTTGGAGGAAGAGAAGAAAGAGGAAAACATTCAGAAGATGTCCCGTCCTGTAGCTCCTGATCAAGTGATAGAACCTTCCAAGGAAGATCTTCAAGGTCTCTTGAAACCTTCCTACATTTCTGATGGTTAAAAGCAGGGGGTCTTCAAACTTGGCCCTTTTATGACTTGTGGACTTCAACTCCCAGAATTCCTCAGCCAACATGCCTGGCTGAGGAATTCTGGGAGTTGAAGTCCACAAGTCATAAAAGGGCCAAGTTTGAAGACCCCTAGTTAAAAGTTATCTATCCCGAGGCTTTTGCCTCAAAAATCTCTAATGATTTAAAGAAATGGAATTTAAACCGCAGCCAGATATTCCTAGCTCTGGCTAACAGCAACATATAAAGCAGCGCCTTAAATATTGGTTCATCGGGGCTTTTTTCCCCACTAATTTTTAATTTACCTCAGCTTAGGCTTCCAATGATATTTGTCTTTCTTGTCGCCTCATAGATGAGTTGAGAAAATTGCAAGAGCAGATGAAAAAATTGCAGGAGCAGTTACAAAGCACAGCGATTGGAAAGCCAGCCGATTCTCATCTCTGCAAGAAAACATCTGGTAATTGCGTTTTTTCTTTTTTGACAACCCTGCTCTCCAGCATGTTATCTTGCATTTCATCCTATGGACATTTTTTGTAAGCCCGGGCAATTTGCTAAAATTATACAAATCCCAATGTTTAATCAAATCTTTAAAATGCGACAATATTTTAACATCATGTAAACATTTCAAATTCAGTACAGGTAGCCAGATAATCACGTTTTGGTTGCTTGGCAACCGGCCTGCCTTTATGGCTGTTTGCAGCATCCCACAGTCACACAACTGCAATTTGTGACTTTTTTTTTCCCGCCAGAAATTGACATTTACTTCTGTTTTCTGGCAAAAAGTGCCCATTGCAGAAAATGGATTTGTTTCACAACCCCAGTGTTCTCTCATGCTTGCTTAACGATCGCTGCAAGAAAGAACATAAAATCTGGTCACACAGTGACTAGCTAAACAACGGAGAAGACTTTTCACCATAATTCCGATCTCAATTACGGTCCTAGGTCAAGGACTACCTATACATTTGTGTGTAAAAAAAGAAAAAAAACTTGAGATGATTAGGATCAGAATGAGGAAACAAGTAGAGGAGAAGTCATTTTGGCAATAGTCACACTCTGCACAGAATAGTAAATATTGTTTCTTTAAATCCAGTGTAAAAGGAGTTGTATTCAGTAGTGGCCAAAATTATGGGAACCTTTTGGGGAAAGTGTACAGTAGAAATGCCACTTTTGGTTAAGTTTCCACCCATTTTTCTTCTAATTTCTTTATAACTGTAGCCTTGTTCACTTAATAATACTATTTTACTATACATCGCTTTCTGGGCGACCAGTCAATTCTTTGCACCATGACTTTAATTTTATTACGTTTTACAAGCTCGCTCAATGAAAACACAAAAAACCCCAACCGATAGCGATCACATGACACACTGATAAATGTCCTCCTCTCAGCTTCAATACATGAGATCGATAACTGGATCCTACTGTGATCTGATTGGCTCATTGCCAAAACAAGATGACACCCGATTGGCTCTCTAAACACTCGTGCTCATTGGCTACAATCAGATGAAGGAAAGCTGCCTGATATCAACCTAAGCAAGTCGTGCTTCCTTTTTCTGGTTATTTGGCTATAACTTTTTATAGAATACAGTACAGATAATTGGACAAACTATGTTGCATTACATTCTTCATTAAATTATCTTTCCATTGATATATAATTTTATGGTACTACTCCCAAAAAAAGCCATCAAACCTCAAAAATGCACTTTTCCCAAAAGTTTTTCATAATTTTGGCCACTACTGTAATACATGAGAGAAAGATGGCTTAGGTATCATTCACTGATTCATCAGCCACTCAAATTAATTTTTTTGGATTGACGGTGCAATTTCCAGGATTGGATAATTGCACTTAAATTTTGCATTTTTTAAATCTTCTGTTTCTAGTCTGCCAGAGACGTCATATTGAAGCAAAACAAAGGGATAACACCAATATACAACTAAATTTCATTTTTGATGTGTGCCGTTGTGCCCACAGTAAAAAAATGACTATAAAGGTTATCTAATCTAATCAAATCTGAAACACAGCTGAGCTCAAAGTATCAAAGAGAGATATACACTAAGCATAAATATTTACCCAAGGTTTTTTTTTTCCTATAAAATGGTACCTTGGTACTCAACTGCTTTGAAAATCATCAAATTTGGTACTCGTCGCATTTTGTCCCGGTACATGTAGTCCTCGACTTACCACAGTTCATTTAGTGACAGTTCAAAGTTACAACTGCACTGAAAAAAAGGGACTTACGACCGTTTTTCACACTTACAACCATTGCAGCATCCCCATGGTCATGTGATCAAAATTCAGAGGCTTGGCAACTGGCATGTACTTATGACGGTTGCATCATCCTGGGGTCACGTGATCTCCTTTTGCGACCTTTGACAGGCAAAGTCAATGGGGAAGCCAGATTCACTTAATAACCAGGTAACTGACTTAACAACTGTGGCAAGAAAGGTCATAAAATGGGGCAAAACTCACCTAACAAATGTATCACTTAACAACATAAGTGTTGGACTCAATTATAGTCGTAAGTCAAGGACTACTTGTTCACATCATTTGCTTGGTACTCAACACACCCGCTGGAACTTGTCGATGTCGGCTGCCTTGTGACTGACTACATTATTCCTTATGGGAGAAATTTGTTTTGTATTCATCGTTTTTGGTACCAAAAGTCATCATAACTCCCAGAACCAATCAGCAATGAGTACTGAGGTACCACTGTAAATGCATTGAGGTTGTTTCTGATATATTCTAGCTGAAAACATACATCTTTGATCAATTCTTTGATTTCTTGATCAGGTAAACCAACCGCTCCTGTCATTAAGGAAAGGACTCCTTCAAAGGTTCAAAAATGCCCATCTTTTTCAGCTAAGGGGAACAGTCCACCTTTACCGCTGCCAAAAAGCCAGTCCCAGAAACCCAAATCTATGATTGCAGGTATATTTTAGCCATTCCTTCTACTTGATTTCTGGCAGAGTGCGAAGTGTTGTAAAAGAACGGTTGCTGAAATTGGGTATCTCTAGTTTAATGAAAAGAAGGACTAGGGGGGGACATGATAGCAGTCTTCCAATATCTCAGGGGCTGCCACAAAGAAGAGGGAGTCAAGCTATTCTCCAAGGCGCCTGAAGGCAGGACAAGAAACAATGGATGGAAACTAACCAAGGAGAGAAGCAACCTAGAACTAAGGAGAAACTTCCTGACAGTGAGAACAATTAACCAGTGGAACAGCCTGCCTCCAGAAATTGTAGATGCTTCATCAGTGGAGGGTTTCAAGAAGAGACTGGATATCCATTTGTTTGAAATGGTATAGGGTCTCCTGGTTGACGGGGCTGGACTACAAGACCTCCAAGGTCCCTTCCAGCTCTATTCTGATTAAAATAGAAGTATCATAGGTTATCCTAAAATGACATATTGTGTTGACCACGGTAATAGAAGCAGCAGAGAATGGTCTACAATCCAAAATCCAAGCCCACCAAATATCGTGAATGCCCAGTAACATCAATAATTATAGTCCAGCTAAAATAACAGAGGCAGTATTGTACATTCAGAAGATTAGATTAGAATTTCATCTGTCTGAAAGGGTATAGAGCAGGGGTAGGCAACCTTGGCTCTTTTATGACTCGTGCACTTCAACTCCCAGAATTCCTGAGCCAGCCATGCTGAGGGGAAAGGGAGAGGTTTCCAAGCTGAGCCATGCTGGCTCAGGAATTCTGGGAGTTGAAGTCCACGAGTCATAAAAGAGCCAAGGTTGCCTATCCCTCGTATAGAGTTTCCTGCCTGAGCAGGGGGTTGGACTAGAAGACCTCCAAGGTCCCTTCTGCCTCTGTTATTCTATAAAACCTGCTTCTTTCATATCTTTCAAACGGTGAAGAGATGTTTCTTAAGGCAGTGGCTTCACAGCTTGAGAATTTTGCACTGATATAGTTAAATGCAAATAGGGCTTGTGGAGATTTGCATAATTCTACTTCTGGAATTTAAGATGTCATAAATGAGACGTTGGAGAAGGACACTATGATGGCACAGTTTTTTTCAGCGTGCTCTCAGTTGCTGAAAAGAGTAAAGTAAATCAGAATGACTTATTCATGTGGAGAAAGTTATTTATTTATCTGTGTTTTGGGGCTGTCGGCACCTTTTAAAATACACCTGAAGGCAGAATTGACGGTGGTTGATTTGCAATTTTATTCCCCTGGGAAAAATTAGCCACTTATTGTTAAAGAGAGGAGTTTGAGAAAAAGCTTCCGTTATTAAGGCTTTCCCTCTATGTTGGTTTTTTTCAGTTTTCTTCTGGATAATGGTGTATTGTTTGTCTTCTGCTCCTTATAGTGAATAAGAACCACACTTCAAAAGCTACGTCTAGTCTGCTCTCTCAACCCCTTAAATCGGTGGTTGGAAACAGACCCGCTATGGATTCCAGTAAGAAAATTCCAGTAACAAAAAATTCTGAGGGCAAAAATCAAGATGTTTCCATGGAAATCTACTCTGGGCTGAAATTAAGGTGAGCAAGCTATCTGGAGTAACTTAATTAGCTTTTTAAAAATGGACCACAAGGGAAATTATATACATACCTTGCTAAAGAACAATTCTACCCTCAACGCCAAGGGCGTAATTTTATTCTGGATGTAGTACATGTAGTCCTCGATTTATGGCCAAAATTAAGCTCAAAAGTTCTGTTGCTAAGCAAGACATTTGTTGAGTGAATTCTGCCCCATTTTAAGACCTTTCTTGCCATAGTTGTTAAATGAATCACTGCAGTTGTTAAGTTACTAATCTGGCTTCCCCCGTTGACTTTGCTTGTCAGAAGGCTGCAAAAGGGGATCATGTGACCTGAGACACTGCAACCATCATAAGTACATGCCAGTTGCTAAGCATCTGAATTTTGATCACGTGACCCTGGGGATCCTGCAACTGTCCTAAGTGTGAAAAACAGCCCTAGGTCACTTTTTTCAGTGTCGTTGACTTGGAAGTACCCTGAAACCTTGCTAAGATTCTTCAAAGCAAGTTTTCAGTCTTAAAGAGTTATCTGTGCTTTTTAAAAAGAAGCAGAGGTGCTTAAGATACTGAATTTGATAGACAAGATAAGTCTCAACATCTATCTATATAGTCTATATAGGCAAGAACATAGCCTATAGACTATGTTCTTGCCTATATAGACTATATAGATGTTGAGACTCTAAAACAAGCATGTCAATCTCGCGATGTCACGTGACATTGCGCACCGTATCACGACTTTTTCTCCATTGCAGGCAATGGGGTGGGTGCGGTTTTGGCGTGACGCATCCGGCCCGCAGGGTGGCAGTTTGACATGCCTGCTCTAGAAAGAGTGCAGAACAGAACAACAAAGATGATTAGGGGACTGGAGGCTAAAGCATATAAGGAACAGTTGCTGGAATTGGGTATATCCAGTTTAATGAAGAGAAGGACGAGGGGGGACATGATAGCAGTGTTCCAGTATCTGAGGGGTTGCCACAAAGAAGAGGGAGTCAAGCTAGTCTCCAAAGCACCTGAAGGCAGGACAAGAAGCAACGGATGGAAACTAATCAAAGAGAAAAGCAACCTAGAGGTAAGGAAAGATTTCCTGACAGTGAGAACAATTAACCAGTGGAACAACCTGCCTCCAGAAGCGGAGAATGCTCCAACACTGGAAGTTTTTAAGAAGAGACTGGACAGCCATTTGTCTGAAATGGTATAGGGTTTCCTGCCTGAGCAAGGGGTTGGACTAGAAGACCTCCAAGGTCCCTTCCAACATTATTATTGTTGTTGTTATTGACTAGTATCAGCATTTTTGATAAATGTTTGAAACACCTTTTTTATTATTTCTTGGTTGGAAATGTGTCGAGCAATGGACGGTTAAAGTAGGGGTCTCCAACTTCCAGTCCATGGACCAGCACCGGGCCACAACATGCTAGAAACCGGGCCGTGCAACCAAAGCCTCATCCGTGGGGTGCAGGGATCATGAAACCAGGCCTCCTCCAGTGCATAGAAAAACCTCTTTCCACGGAACCAGCCCCTGGTGCCCAAAAGGTTGGGGACCTCTGGGTTAAGGGGTTCCGCCTCTGATGGGGGGTTTCTGATTTCCTTGCAGAAAACCCCGCGTCTCTTCGGCTGAGATGGAAAGAAAAATGACAGGGCGGCAGCTGATTAGACTCTCTCTGCTGCAAGACAAACTCCGCTTGGCCAATCTTGAAGAAATGGACTGGGTGACCTTTGGCATCATAATAAAGAAAAAGACTCCTCAGAGTTCCAGCAACGTAAGTGCTTGTATGTTTGCCCGGATCTCGTTGGCTTTTCTGAGGGGAGTGAAATCTTGGCCGTCTCCATCGCCGGCTGGCGGGAGATCAAAGCGATACATTCCTATAAATTTCTCGCCTTTCAGATTTTACTTAGTAAACAGGAGTGTTCTTCGGAAAGGCATCTGGGCAAAAAAAACCACAAAAAAATTTAAAAAAATGATCTTTCTGTTTTCCCCTGACCTGCTTTCAATCTTGCGCCAGAATGAAAGACACCGACCTTCAGTTTTGCTTAAAATGACTGGGCAATGCTGCATTAGTTTGGAAATCCCGGCAGTGCCCGTCCTACGGCCACAGTTGGGCCAAAACATTTCCGTGGCGAAGTGAGACGTTGGTGAAGTGAGTTTTGTCCCATTTTTGCGACCTTTTCCTGCACCCGGTTGTTAAGTGAATCACTGCAGTTGTGAAGTTAGTCAACCTGGATTGTTAAGTGAATCTGACTTCCTCCATTGACTTTGCTTGTCAGAAGGTCGCAAAAGGGGATCACGTGACCCCCTGGGGACACTGAAAACCGTCATAAATAGGAGTCAGTTTCCGAGCATCTGAATTTTGATCATGTGACCATGGGGATAATGTAAGTGTGAAAAATGTAAGTGTGAAAAATGGTCATAAGTCCCTTTTTTTCAGCACTGGTAACTGAATGGTCACTAAATGAACTGTCGTAAGTCGAGGACCACCTGTACAGTCTCGTGTATAGTCTTCTATCCATATATAGGGGTGAAGTGTCCAGGGTTTAGCAATTAACCAAAGGAAAATATCAGTATCTATAATTTAGCAATAGCACTTAGACTTATATACCGCTTCGTAGGGCTTTTACAGCCCTCTCTAAGCGATTCACAGAGTCAGCATATTGACCCCCAACAATCTGAGTCCTCATTTTACCGACCTCGGAAGGATGGAAGGCTGAGTCAACCTGGAGCCAGTCAGGATCAAATTCCTAGCAGTGGGCAGAGTCAGACCGCAATGCTGCCTTTTAACTACTGCATACCATGGAAGGAAGGAAGGAAGGAAGGAAGGAAGGAAGGAAGGAAGGAAGGAAGGAAGGAAGGAAGGAAGGAAGGAAGGTGAAAAGAAAGAACAATAGGAATCACACTTAGACTTATATACTGCTTCATAGTGCTTTGAAGCCCTCTCTCTGCGCTTTACAGAATCAGCCTCTTGCCCCCAACAATCTGGGTCCTCATTTTACCCACCTCGAAAGGATGGAAGGCTGAGTCAACCTTGAGCCGGTCAGGATCGAACTCCTGGCGGTGGGCAGTGAGTTAGCCTGCAATCCTGCATTCTCACCATCACCGAAAGGAAAGGAATAGCAGTAGCATTTAGACTTATATACTACTTCACAGTGCTTCACAGCCCTCTCTGAGGGGTTTATAGAGTCAGCCTATTTGCCCCCAACAATCTGGGTCCTCATTTCACTGACCTGGGAAGGATGGAAGCCTGAGTCAACCTTGAGCCGGTCAGGATCGAACTCCTGGCGGTAGGCAATGAGTTAGCCTGCAATCCTGCTTTCTCACCACTGTGCCACCAATTGACCACTTAAACCAATTATTGCATATCAATGTAATGCTTCTTCTCACCATCTGCCTCTCTTCCAGGGTAAGACGTTCAGCATCTGGCACCTGAATGACCTCCGGGACTTCAGTAGGTCTGTCTCACTCTTCCTGTTTGGGGACGTTCACAAAGAACACTGGAAGACGGATAAAGGCATGGCTGTAGGCCTCCTCAACGCTAATCAGATGAAACCCAAGGAAGGATCAGAGGAGGTATGGATAAGGTTGGGGCAATAATGTTGCCTATGTAAAACCAAGAAAGACTGTATAAAACAGGGGTAGGCAACCTTGGCTCTTTTATGACTCGTAGACTTCAACTCCCAGAATTCCTGAGCCAGCATGGGGGGACTATGGCCCCTTCATGGCTTGTGGACTTCAACTCCCAGAATTCCTGAGCCAGCATGGGGAAAACTTTGGCCCCTTCATGACTCATGGACTTCAACTCCCAGAATTCCTGAGACAGCATGGGGGGGACTATGGCCCCTTCATGGCCTGTGGACCTCACCTCCCAGAATTCCTGAGCCAGCATGGGGGAACTATGGCCCCTTCATGGCCTGTCGACCTCACCTCCCAGAATTCCTGGGCCAGCATGGGGAAAACTTTGGCCCCTTCATGACTTGTGGACTTCAACTCCCAGAATTCCTGAGCCAGCATGGAGAAAACGTTGGCCCCTTCATGACTTGTGGACTTCAACTCCCAGAATTCCTGAGCCAGCATGGCTCAGCTTGGAAACCTCCCTTTCCCCTCAGTATGGCTGCCTCGGGAATTCTGGGAATTGAAGTCCACGAGTCATAAAAGAGCCAAGGTTGCCTACCCCTGGTATAAAACAACTCCCACTGTAATCTTCTACATTTCGATTTAGAGTAAATCCAGTGCCATTTAGCTCTACGTAAAGGACAGAAGGCTGCAGTCTCAAAGGATAGGGTGGCATTTTTAGCATCATCCGAACAAATTCGTTCAGCTTCCTGGGAGCTGAAAACTGTTGTCTTCTTTCTTCTCAGGTGTGTCTATCTGTCGATCACCCTCAAAAGATCCTGATTTTAGGGGAAGCCATGGACTTGGGAACTTGTAAAGCGAAGAAAAAAAACGGAGAGCCTTGTACTCAGATGGTTAACCAGGTATGTGTCTATTTATTTATTTATTTATTTAGTTATTATATTTCTACCCCGCCCTTCTCCCTGCGGACTCAGGGCGGTTAAAAAGTGTGTTTGGCCTTCAGGTTTTCATACAGGTAGATATTACTTGTAAATCACAATTGAGGATAATGAAAACACTGGAAAGCAAAAGATCCCCACAACAGGTGGCCAAGAACTGAGTTCTCTCTGAGCTACAAATTTCATTTATAAAAATAATACATTTCTGTTGCTAAGCGAGAGACTTGTTTTGCCCCATTTTACGACTTTTCCTGCCACAGTTGTTAAGTGAATCGCTGCAGTTGTTAAATTAGACACACGGTTGTTAAGTGAATCCGGCTTCCCCCATTGACTTTGCTTGTCAGGCGGTCGCAAAAGGGGATCACGTGACCCCGGGGACGCTGTGACCGTCATAAATATGAGTCAGTGGCCAGGCATTTGAATTTTGATCACTTGAGCACAGGGATGGCTGCAACGGTCGTAACTGTGAAAAATGGTCATAAGCCACTGTATTCCGCGCCGTTGTAACTTTGAATGGTCACTGAACGAATTGTTGTAAATCGAGGACTATCTGTAAAAGCAGGACATAAATAAATAAATACTAAATAAATACATTTCCTCTGCCCACCTCAAATCTTGTGTTCATCCTCTACAGATGGTCCTCAACGTATGACCACAATTGAGCCCAAAATGTATGTCTCTTAAATGAGACATTTGTTAAATGAGTTTTGCTCCCATTTTACAACCTTTCTTGCCCTAGCTGTTAAGTGAAGAATCTGGCTTCCCCCATTGACTTTGCTAGTCAGAAGGTCACAAAAGGGAATCGCAGCACCCCGGGGACGCTGCAGCAGTCGTAAGTGTGAAAAACAGCCTGTTTTTCAGCGCCGTTGTAACTTTGAACGGTCACTAAATGAACTGTTGTAAGTCGAGGACCGGCTGTAAATAAATAAAATAAATAAACATAAAATATAAATAAATACTAAATACATATAGTAGTGGCCAAAATTGTGGAAAACCTTTTGGGAAAAGTGTATTTTTGAGGTTTGATGGCTAATAACACCACTTTTTTGGGGGGAGTAGTACCATAAAATTATATATCAATGGAAAGATAATTTAATCAAGAATGTAATGCAACAACGTTGGTTCAATTATCTGTACTGTATTCTATGAAAAGTTATAGCCAAATAACCAGAAAAAGGAAGCACAACTTGCTTAGGTTGATCTCAGGTAGCTTTCCTTCATCTGATTGTAGCCAATGAGCATGAGTGTTTAGAGAGCCAATCAGGTGTCATCTTGCTTTGGCCATGAGCCAATCAAATCACGGTAGGATCCAGTGATTGATTTCACTTATTGAAGCTGAGAGGAGGACATGTGTCAGTGTGTTATATGATCGCTATCAAGTTGGTTGGGTTTTTTTGTGTTCTTTCATTTAGTGAGTTTGTAAAACGTAATAAAATTAAAGTAATGGTGCAAAGAGTTGTCTGGTCACCCAGAAAGCGATGTAAAATAGTATTATTAAGTGAACAAGGCTACAGTTATAAAGAAATTAGAACAAAAATGGGTGGAAACTTAACCAAAAGTGGCATTTCTACTGTACACTTTTCCCAAAAGGTTTCCACCATTTTGGCCACTACTGTACATTTCCTCCGCCCACTTCAAGACTTGTTGTTCATCCTCTGTCGGGAATCCCTGCAACTGCAGCTTATCCACTCCCTCAGTGGGTCATTTTTCAGGACTTCCTTTGTGTTTCAGAGCGAGTGCGAATATTGTCAGTATCATATACAAACCGAGTATCGGAAACTGAGCTCCAAGCGAGCAGACCTGCAGTCCACTTTCTCCACCACCCGGGCACCGAAGAAGACAGCAAAGAGGAACCTCGGCTTGAAAGGGAGGCTTTGTCAAGACGGCTTTTACTATGGCGGCGTTTCCTCCGCGGCTTATGCCGCTTCCGTGTAAGGAAATGCTTCTAGGCCAGACATGTCAAACACAAGGCCCGGGGGCCAGATGCAGCCCGCGAAGTGGTTTCATGTGGCCCGCGAAGCCATCCTGGAAACTGAGGGAACGGCCCCCGCTGCCTTGGTCCAGTCCCAGGCCGGCCGGGAGCCAATGTACGATTTTGTGGTGGCCATCTATGCTGAAACGCATTCAGTCTTAGCTCCACAAGGCCGTCCGGAAACAGCGAGGAACCAGCCCCTGCCGTGTCAGTCCCGCCCCTTAGGTGCATGCTGGGGAGGTCTCACCCTTTCTGAGGAATGAAGAAATGGACCATGCCTAGGCGCTTGCCCCGGTCCCACCCCCTTCTGCCAGAGACCCTCAGATCTGTCCCACTCCTGCCCAGGCCCCCACAGGCCCCCTTGACGTGAACGATGTAGAGCTGGCCATGCCCACCCAATAGGCCACACTCACTCCGTCCACACCCACCCAGTAGGCCACACCCACCCTGGCCACACACCCCCACCCCCCCGAAGGCAACCGCAATGCTGATGCGGCCCTCAGTGAAATTGAGTTTGACACCCCTGTTCTAGGTTCTTTCGTGGGTGGTCTGGGTCCCGGGGTTGCTTATCCAGATCTTGGTTTAATTAGAGTTGGAAGGGACCTCCTCAGAAGTCTTCTAGTCCAGATCTCTGCTCAGGCAGGAGACCCTACACCGGGAGTGTCAAACTGCCGGCCCATGGGCTGGATGCATGATGCCAAAACCGCACCCACCCCATTGCCGGCAATGGAACAAAAGTCGCGATATGTCGCGACGCGTCACACGGCATTGTGAATTTGACACCCCCTGCCCTATACCATTCCAGACGAGTGGCTGTCCCATCTCTTCTTAAAAACCTCCAGTGATGAAGCACCTACAACTTCTGAAGGCAGGCGGTTCCACTGGTTGATTGTCCTCACTGTGAGGAAATTTCTCCTTAATTCCAGATTGCTTCTCTCCTTGGTTAGTTTCCATCTGTTGTGTCTTGTCCTGCCTTCTGGTGCTTTGGAAAATAAATGGACCCCCTCCTCTTTGTGTCAGCCTCTCAAATACTGGAATACTGCTATGCCACCCCCTAGTCCAGGGGTAGGCAACCTTGGCTCTTTTATAACTCGTGGGCTTCAACTCTCAGAATTCCTGAGCCAGCATGGCTCAGCTTGGAAACCTCTCCCTTTCCCCTCAGCATGGCTGGCTCAGGAATTCTGGGAGTTGAAGTCCACGAGTCATAAAAGAGCCAAGGTTGCCTACCCCTGCCCTAGTCCTTCTTTTCATTAAACTAGACGTGAAAAGAAGGACTAGGGGTGACAGGATAGCAGTGTTGCAATATCTAAAGCAGTGGCCCCCAACCTTTTGGACACCAGGGACCGATTCCGTGGAGAGAGGTTTTTCCGTGGATCGGAGGGGAAGTGGTTTTGCGTGCTGCCTGCATCCCAGGGACAGGACTTTGCTTGTTTGCACAGCCTGGTTTCTGGCAAGCCATGGCCTGGTGCCGGTCCATAAAGAAGAGCCATGGCGGTGCAGTGGTTAGAATGCAGTACTGCAGGCTACTTCTGCTGACTGCTGGTTTTCGGCAGTTCGACTCTCACCAGGCTCCAGGTTGACTCAGCCTTCCATCCTTCCGAGGTCAATAAAATGAGGATCCAGATTGTTGGGGGCAAGATGCTGACTCTGTAAACCACTTAGAGAGCGCTGTAAAGCACTACGAAGCGGTATATAAGTCTAAGTCCTATTGCTATTAGATTAGCTGGATGGAAACTAATCAAGGAGAGAACCCATCTAGAACTTTTTCCTCCAGAATTAATTGTAATGATTTAGACACACACAAGACTTAGTATGGCTTTGATTTCCAGCCCTTAAGTTGTGTTCTTGTGTACCCTCTTCAGGGCTGCTGCTGCCGTTCCCAGACAGAAAATCCAAACGACTTTGACAAATTTGGTGGTAAAAGGAGTGGATGCAATCCTGCAGGAAACCAAAGGAAAACTGGGTAACCTTTTGTTTTTTGAAGCTTGCCGTGTTGGAGAGTCCTATTCTTTCAGCCTGGTTCTTTTTTTTTTTTTTTTTGGTAGGAGTTTTTATTGGTTTTTTTCCATACATTCAGTAATAATTTTTCAACAAACGTGCTGTCTTTTACATTCGCTAATGCATATTTAATTCCTAATTCTTTATTCTTTCCTCTAGCCATCGATAAAATAAGTCCCAAATCTGATAATATTCCGTTTCTTCTTTTTCTTTCAGTCTCATAGTCAGTCTATCCATCTCTGCGCATTCTAGTATTTTTTAAATTATTTCTTCATCTGATGGTATTCCTTCCTTTTTCCAGTATTGCGCAAATATAATTCTTGCCGCTGGTTCTTTGGCGTGCGAGCATTCCTCGACTTACGACAGAATTGAGCCTCCAAATTTCCGTTGCTAAGCGAGGCAGTAGTTGAGCTTTGCCTCGTTTTGCCTTCTTTTCTCGCCCCCGTCGTGAGGAGAATCACTTCAATTAAGTTAGTAACACGGTTGTTAAAGCGAATTGACTTGGACTTCCCCATTGACTTTGATTGTCAGAAGGTGGCACAAGTTGATCACGATCCTGCGACCGTCACAAGTAGGAGTCAGTTGCCAAGCGCCTGAATTTTGATCATGTGACCCTGGGGATGCTGCAATGGATGTAAATGTGAAAAACTCTCATAAGTCACTTTTTTCAGTACCGTTGGAACTTCAGTCACTAAATTTCAAGTCCCAGGCCACATCTGTCTGCCCCTCAAGCCACAAGATTTTACTATCCAGAGAGTCCGGAAAACATTCCCAAACGTAATATTTTTATGGAGATTCTCAGTCATCCAGGTTCATGGTTGTCCCAAAGATGCTTTTTCAAGAAGCGTTTTCAGTTCTGAGAGAAGAGAGCTGAAGAGAGAACTGAAGAAGTTTCTTGGATGAGAAGCAAAATGACTTCAAATAATAATAATAATAATAAAAGTTGGAAGGTACCTTGGGGGTCATCTAGTCCAACCCCCTGCTCAGGCAGGAAACCCTATACCATTTCAGACAAATGGCTGTCCAGTTTCTTCTTAAAAACTTCCAGTGTTGGAGCATTCACCATTTCTGGAGGCAAGTAGTTCCACTGGTTAAGAAAAACAAGGAAGTCCAGTTTTCTTCTTGAAAAAGCACCTTGGGAACCTTGTAATATTTTGTTTATTGTTTATTTGAGTTAAGTTTTTTCTGCATCCCCTGGAGAGCGCTCAAATGAAAGCGAACTATAAAATGTTTTAAAAGGCGGGTTAAAATTACCCATAAAATAAACACTGGAAAACCCAATCAGACACGCATCTTTAGCAACGGAGGATAAAGCCAAACACAATTCTTACAGCAAAAAGCATTTTCCCCCTTTTGCCAGATAGGAATGTTACATTATTAAAGGCCCAGCAGCAGTAAATCATGGTAATGTGTTTAATCATAATCATAGTTTTTATACAGTAGTAAATAAACATCACCATGCAATCATATTCATGTGTATGGATTTACAGTAGTGACGAAAATTGTGGAAACCTTTTGGGAAAAGTGTATTTTTGAGGTTTGATGGCTAATAACACCACTTTTTTTTTTGGGAGTAGTACCATAAAATTATATATCAATGGAAAGATAATTTAATCAAGAATGTAATGCAACAAAGTTGGTTCAATTATCTGTACTGTATTCTATGAAACATTATAGCCAAATAACCAGAAAAAGGAAGCACAACTTGCTTAGGTTGATCTCAGGTAGCTTTCCTTCCTCTGATTGTAGCCAATGAGCATGAGTGTTTAGAGAGCCAATCAGGTGTCATCTTGTTTTGGCAGTGAGCCAAACAGATCACAGTAGGATTCAGTTATTGATGTCACGTATTGAAGTTAAGAGGAGGACATTTGTCAGTGTGTTATGTGATCCCTATCAAGTTGGTTGTGGGGGTTTTTTGTGTTCTTTCATTTAGTGAGTTTGTAAAAAGTAATAAAATTAAAGTAATGGTGCAAAGAGTTGACCGGTCGCCCAGAAAGTGATGTAAAATAGTATTATTAAATGAACAAGGCTACAGTTATAAAGAAATTAGAAGAAAAAGTGGCGGAAACTTAACCAAAGGTGGCATTTCTACGGTACACTTTTCCCAAAAGGTTTCCACAATTTTGGCCATTACTGTAAGTAGAGGCAGCCCTTGACTTACAACAGTTCGTTTAGTGACTGTACAAAGTTACAACAGCACTGAAAGTGACTTATGACCATTTTTCATACTTAACGACCGTTGTAGAATTCCCGTGATCAAAATTAAGGCACTTGGCAACTGACTCATATTTATGACGGTCACAGTGTCCCAGGGTCATGTGATCCTCTTTTGTGACTTGACAAGCAAAGTCAGTGGGGAAGCCAGTTTCACTTAACAACGAATGTTACAGAATAACCGCAATGATTCACTTAACAACGGTGGCCAAGAAGGTTGCAAAATGGGGCAAAACTCACTTAACAAATGTCTCACTTCAGCGGCATAAATTTGGGACTCCACTGTGGTCGTAAGTCAAGGGCTGACTGTTATAAATATCACCATATCACGCTATTTGTGTTTATGGATTTAAGCAGAGTGGAAATCTGTTTTTTATTGTGGTTCCACCCTTTGCCTTCCCCAAAGGCAATTCTGGTTTTCTTCCACTCAAAGGCCAAACGCAGGGGTAGGCAACCTTGGCTCTTTTATGACTTGTGGACTTCAACTCCCAGAATTCCTGAGCCAGCCATGCTGAGGGGAAAGGGAGAGGTTTCCAAGCTGAGCCATGCTGGCTCAGGAATTCTGGGAGTTGAAGTCCACCAGTCATAAAAGAGCCGAGGTTCCCCACCCCTGGCCCAAGTGTGATCTGCAGCTCAGAAGATCTCACTTTGTGGTTCCTTTTCAGGTCTGCCAAAGCCACCCTGTTCAGAAGAATTCAAGGAACTGTTGGCCGTGCCCTCGTCTGGAGCCCGGAACCTCAGTAAACACTTCAACCGAGGTGGGGCCTTAGGTACGTTGGAAACGAACAGGGGATAAATGCTGGCTTGTTTGGCTGAGAAGAGCTGTCATATCTTCATGTGGATGGAGGTTCTCAGTCATCCAGGTCCTGGTTGTCCCAAAGGTGCTTTTTTCAAAAGGCAACTGGACTTTCTTGGTTTTCCCTTGAAGGCGTTTCGCTTCTCGTCCAAGAAGCTTCTCCAGTTCAACTGAAGTGAAGTGAACTGAAAAAGCTTCTTGGATGAGAAGCAAAACGTCTTCAAGCAAAAACCAAGAAAGTCTAGCTGCATTTTGAAAAAACACTTTTGGGATGTCACATCTTCATCTTTCTTTTTTATTTCCTTCCCTCCCTCCCTTCTTTCCTTTCCTTTCCTTCTTTCCTTTCCTTCCTTCCTTCCTTCCTCTTCCTTCCTTTCCTTTCCCCTTCCTTCCCTCTCCCTCCCTTCTTCCTTCCTTCCTCTTCCTTCCTTCCTTCCCCCCTCCCTTCTTCCTTCCTTCCTCTTCCTTCCTTTCCCCTTCCTTCCACCCTCCCTCCCCTCTTCTTTCCTTTCCTTTCCCCTTCCTTCCCCCTCTCTTCTTCCTTCCTCTTCCTTCCTTTCCCCTTCCTTCCCCCCTGCCCCCTTCCTTCCTTTCCCCTTCCTCCTTCCTTCCTTCCTTCTTTCCTTCCTTCTTTCTTTTCTTCTCTTTTCTTTTCTTTCCCACTTGGCTTACCGCTTCTTTCTTCTTCCTTTTTCAGGATTTACAGGAAAGCCAACCTCAGCTGTCCACTCCATCTCTGCCTCAGCATTGCTGAAGCTACAGAAACGGCAAATGTTGGAGGCCCGGAAGCAAAGATCTAATGAAATACAAAGGAGGTAGGAACGCCTTTCAGTTTTGTTCTGTTGGAAGACATGGCTAGATGGTCCTATTTTATTTTTTATTTTTTTTAGACTATCCAGGTAGTCCTTGACTTACAACCGTTCGTTGTAAGTGACCGTTCAACGTTACGACTGCAATGAAAAAAGTGACTTTACGAGCCTTGCAGCGTCCCCCGTGGCCACATGATCGAAATTCGGGCACTTGGCAACTGGCGTGTATTTATGACGGTTGCAGCGTCCCGGAGTCATGTGATCACCATTTGTAACCTTCCCAGCAGCTTCTGACAAGCCAAGTCAATGGAGAAAGCTAGATTCACTTAATGACTTAATGATTCCCTTAACAACTGCAGTGGTTTGGGGCCTATTGGGTGAGTAGCCCTAAGAAGACATCAAGCTGGAGAAGTCTGGGCAGTTTTGATAATCAGCAACTTTTTGAGATTTAGGAAGGACTATCCCAGGGGTAGTCAACCTTGGCTCTTTTATGACTCGTGGACTTCAACTCCCAGAATTCCTGAGCCAGCATGGCTCAGCATGGAAACCTCTCCCTTTCCCCTCAGCGTGGCTGGCTCAGGAATTCTGGGAGTTGAAGTGCACGAGTCATAAAAGAGCCAAGGCTGCCTACCCTTGGACTATCCCAACCTCTTTTGGGGAGATTACACCAATCTCTGATGGAGCAAAAATCACCTCTAAACAAGAGGAATAGGCAACTCTCCCTGATGTGATAATAAAACATTTTGTTTTTCTGCCAGAATGATCTGTGTCAGCATTCCAGGGGCCATTGTGTTTTCCAGAACGAGAAGTTGTGGCACATTCCAGAAAAAGAACACAATATTCCAGAACATACCACAATGTTCTTTTACAGGCTTTATATACACAGCGATGGTGCTTACTGAACAAGGCTCCTGCTATTCTCGGCTATTGTCTTCAAAGGGGTCAAATAAATGATTCTTACGTAAATTTAAAATACTTGCTTCCTCTGGCTAGTTCAGATCAAAGTAATTTCCTCAGGGCCAGCCCTCTCGTCAATTTCCACATTTCCCTCTTTTATGTTTTTTTGGGGAAGATCTGCTGGTTTTTAATTTCTAATGAATTTCTTAAATGGATTTTTAATTCTCCCATTTTTGCCATTGCTTGAGGTGATCTTCCTGACGAACCCAGGCAAATCTTGGATATTGATCTACTTTCTTTGAGTTTATAGGCTTCAAGGCTGCCTTAGCTACGTAGGGAAAAAAAAATACAATATGGATTTTGTAACAGAGGCTGGTGGCATCCGCCGTTCTCAGCTCAGAAAACTGGGACGAGTCCCTGCAAGCCAGAAGCATTTATTATGTGGAGTTGCTTACAAAATTACATATAGGGAAAATTTACCAGAATCTTGTATCAAACTTGTTTTTTTAAAAAAAATTCTTTATAGGTAGTTCTCGTCTTACGACCATAACGGATCCTGCTGTCGTGGTCATAAGCCATGACGATCATAAAATGGGTCACACATGCAACAGACCCAGTTTTACAGTCTTTTTTTAAAGTGAACGCCATAGTCATTAAGCAAACCAATAGTATATAAATGCTGGTTTTCTGCAAAACTGGCATAAAATGCAGTCTGGGGTGCTGGAAACAGGCATAAATGTGGCCTGGTTGCTGAGTGGCCAACATTTGGTCATGTGACCACAGAGGAGGGGACCGTCAGATCTTTGAATATGGGTCGTAAGTAGCCCCCCCTCTGTCCCCAGTAGGTCCGTCATAACTTTGAACAGTCGCTGAGCAGTCGTAATTGAGGACTCCCTGTATAGAAAACTATGTTACTTTTAAAAAAAAGCTGGCTGGGTGCCGTATTTTCATTTTGTTAAAATAATTTTAAAAAGATGCAGAGAATAAGAAATTAATCGAAGCAGCTTTGTCTCAGATTCAATTTGGCGAAAGGCGTCGTTATCTTGCGCGTTAATCCTCCGGGACATTTATAGGGCCTGATCCAGGATATTATCCCCTTGGAAACGGTCATGAACAAACCTCCATCATTTCCCGAGAGATGCTAAAAACAGACATGGGAGCAGACTCTCCCCGGTGTTTACCTCCTTCACCCAAAATGACAATTCTGTTTTTTCATCTTTGTGTTCCAGGTTTCTCCAGGATTCTGCTCCTAAAAGGACCCCAGTATCACCCTCCTCTGTGGGGCAGGCTGTGGTACAGTCCCCAACCCCAGGGGCCGAGTTTCCTAAAGCTGGACAACTATCCAGCCCCCAGACTCCCAGACTTGGTTCAGGCGTCTCTAAAGGGGACGACGTTCTCTTTTTTGATGATTGCCCCCCTCCGGCCCTCAAACTGAGCCGCGTGGCGGAAGCCAAAAAGGTAACAGAGACCTCGACTCGAACACTGTGCCCAAAGGCAGGATATAAAATGAAAATTCCTTTTTATATATGTATATATATAAATTCCTTTCTTAAGTTTCGAAAACAAACATTAAAATACAAACTAGCATAAAGGGAAAACCCGGGGGGGGGGGGGAGAGAATAACAGGACGGGCTGCAAATAGAGACAAAATAATGCATGCAACAAATATGTAACCAAAGAGGCCTCCAACTTATTTCAAGTGCAGAGGTAGAAATACAATACGCAGCAACCTTTCTTTAATTCAAATAAATAATGTTTAAACTCTCGTAAAAATTATAAATAGTCTAAAAATCAATATTTATATTCTTTCCTTAGTTTTAATCGCTGCGGCAATGGATGAATTGACTCATAGGTAGTCCTTTTAATAGCTTGATTCCCAGCACTGCCTGCTAATGTTTTTTAGCCATTTAATAAACTTTCTGCCGCTTCTCCAAACCATGGGTTAGCTTGCTTTTTCATTTGAATTACTTATTAATTGGGGTTCCTTCTAAAATTCCCCCAAAATTCCTACTCGAACCATGGATGGAGAATGGGATCCCGAAGGGTACAAATCTTTTTTCTCGTTTTTCCTTTTTTGTTGTTGTTGTTCAGAGAAGGAAAATGTAACCTGTGGCACAGTTTGGGTGATTTAAATTGCTTATATATGTAACCTATGATCTCTCCGATTGAATTTGTCGGAAAAATCTGTGAACATAGGACATGTGTAACTTTTTAAAAATTACAGTAGTGGCCAAAATTGTGGAAACTTTTTAGGAAAAGTGTTCAGTAGAAATAAGATAAGATAACCTTTATTGTCATTTTTATACTGTGGGCACAATGGCACACGTCAAAAATGAAATTTAGTTGCCCGCTTTCAAAGTGAAACACATACATGACACACACCTAAATATACTATGAACAACATATGTATGCCACCTTTGGTTAAGTTTCCACCAATTTTTCTTCTAATTTCTTTATAACTGTAGCCTTGTTCACTTCATAATACTATTTTACATCGCTTTCTGGGCGACCAGTCAACTCTTTGCACCATTGCTTTAATTTTATTACGTTTTACACTAAATGAAAGAATATATAAAAACCCAATCAACATAATAGCGATCACATAACACACTGACAAATGTCCTCCTCTCAGCTTCAATACATGACATCCATCATTGGATCCTACCGTGATCCGATTGGCTCATTGCCAAAACAAGATGACACCTGATTGGCTCTCTAAACGCTCATGCTCATTGGCTACAATCAGATGAAGGAAAGCTACCTGAGATCAACCTAAGCAAGTTGTGCTTCCTTTTTCTGGTTGTTTGGCTATAACGTTTTATAGAATACAGTACAGATAATTGAACAAACTATGTTGCATTACATTCTTGATTAAATTATCTTTCCATTGATATATAATTTTATGGTACTACTCCAAAAAAAAGTGGTGTTATTAGCCATCACACCTCAAAAATACACTTTTCCCAAAAGGTTTCCACAATTTTGGCCACTACTGTACAGTTTGTGAACGTGCTGTGTTTATCACTGTACACGACGACGTAACTTCCTTTTGTCGTGCTGGTTGTTCTTACAGGATTTAATTAAAGTGGTTGATTATGCTTCCAATGCCTCCCTTTAGATTGCAGCGATACGGAAACTGCGTGCAAAAGGGCAGATCCTTTCCAAAGAAGATCCAAACAGCGTCAAACGGAAACGGTCAGATCTCGACGTTCCGGGGATTTCTGAAAGAGTGGAGAAAAATATCACCAGTTCAGAAGGTGTGAAAAAACACTGGAGTCCATGATGGCTATCAAACAATTACTTTGTCGGTCTATCTGCAGACTTTACGACCACAGCTGAGCCCAGCTTTTATGTTGCTAAACGAGACATGGGTGAAGTGGATTTTGCCCCATTTTACGACCTTTCTTGACATACAGGGTCAAATGAATCCCTGCCATTGTTAAGTTGGTAACACGGTTGTTAAGTGAATCTGGCATTCCCCGTTGACTTTGCTTGTCAGAAGGTCACAAAAGGAGATCACCGTGACACACACACACACACACACCGGGACACTGTGACCGTCATAAATATGAACCGGTGGCCAAGCCTCTGGATGTTGATCACGTGACCCTGGGAAAGGCTGCAGCGGTCGTAAGTGTGAAAAATGGCCACAAGTTGCTTTTTTCAGTCCCGCTGGGGCGTCGAAAAGTCACTAAATGAACTGTTGTAAGTCGAGGACTACCCCGTACTTATTTATTTATTTATTTAATATTAATAATAATAAAGTTGGAAGGGACCTTGGAGGTCATCTAGTCCAGCCCCCTGTTCAGGCAGGAAACCCTATACCATTTTGGACAGATGGCTGTCCAGTCTCTTCTTAAAAACTTCCAGTGTTGGAGCATTCACCGCTTCTGGAGGCAGGTTGTTCCACTGGTTAATTGTTCTGACTGTCAGGGAGTTTCTCCTTAGTTTCAGGTTGCTTCTCTCCTTGGTTAGTTTCCATCAGTTGCTTCTTGTCCTGCCTTCAGGTGAGCTTGACTCCCTCTTCTTTGGGGCAGCCCCTGAGATATTGGAAGACTGCTATCATGTCCCCCCTCGTCCTTCTCTTCGTTAAACTAGACATTCCCAATTCCAGCAACCGTTTCTCATATGTTTTAGCCTCCAGTCCCCTAATCGTCTTTGTTGCTCTTCTCTGCACTCTTTCTAGAGTCTCAACATCTTTTTTACCTCATGGTGACCAAAACTGGATGCAATTATTTGCATGCCACCATTATGAGAGCTGAAGGCAACAAAAAATTCATTTTAAGGTATGCTGATTAGTGTACATTTCAAGTGACAATAAAGTTATTCCATTCTATTCTGTTTCCATAGACGGGGGAGCGCCAGAGCCCGTTGAAAAGAAACGGCGCCAGCAGCTTGAATACTTGGAATCGGCGGAGTTTCAAGAGATCCTGAACGCTCGATCGAAACACACCGGCGTCCTTAAGGAGGTGAGCCTGTCCTGCGTCAAATTGTTTTGAGCAGCCAAGAATCCGTCAAGGAATTCGGGAAGCGAAGCAGCTGCTGAGCCAAAATCGTGACTGCGCTTATGATCTTGCGTCGGTTTTCCTTTGTTCTACAGACTTGCAAAAGTTGTAAATGGCCTGAAAGGCACTTTTAAATGTGGTATATTGGTTGTAAAGGTACTTTTTTTCGTCACCACCATAACTGGAATAGTTGTTGCTAAACGTTGCTAAACGAGGAGTAACTGCATTGGGCAATTTAGAAGCGTACAACTATAGTTGTTGTTTTTTTAAAACCCTGATGATCCAGTATGAATTAATTTTATAGTAGAACTTGAGGTACTGGTTAAAGCTATCCTTAAGCACTGGGCTGCAAGTAAAGTAGGAAATGAGAATCCAACCTATCAACAAGGGGGGGAAACACTAAAGTAATGTAGGTATGTTAAGCTAGAAATTTTCCCAGATTTCTTTTTTTGATAGACTGGGCTTTCCAGTTGTTTCAAACCTGGCATGTCTCAAGGAAATTTGCACATAGGTTTGTGTGTGTTTATGGCCTGGTTTTGAGACAATGATTGTACTTCAGGGTTAAAATACAGGTCCTTGTTTAGCAACTGCCTGGACAATGCCGTAATGCTGAAGCAAAAGTAACTTTCCAATTACTTTTTTACCTGTAACCAATCCTCAAATTTAAAACCTTTGCTGGTCTGTAAAGCAAAGAAAAGCTGGAAAGTTTCCTACTATGGGCATCTTAAAATGTTTAGGTGAAGAATTTACTAATCATTACTTATGGTTTCTAAATATACCTCCTTATTCAGGTTTTATAGCAACATTGTTTATAACAATAATAAAAATAACTTTCCCCTAGGGCAGCCTTGGCTCTTTTATGACTTGTGGACTTCTGCTCCCAGAATTCCTGAACCAGCATGGGGGAACTATGGTCCCCTTCATGACTTGTGGATTTCAGCTCCCAGAATTCCTGAGCCAGCATGGGGAAAACTATGGTCCCCTTCATGACTTGTGGATTTCAGCTCCCAGAATTCCTGAGCCAGCATGGGGGAACTATGGCTCCTTCATGACTTGCGAACTTCAGCTCCCAGAATTCCTCAGCCAGCATGGGGGAACTATGGCCCCTTCATGACTTGCGAACTTCAGCTCCCAGAATTCCTCAGCCAGCATGGGGGAACTATGGCCCCTTCATGACT